TCTCTCTTCCAAAACTCTTAAACGTGCGATCTTTTCTCCTCCTATCGCCACCATAACAATCTCCTTGACCCCCACCAGTCAGGCTTCAAGGCCATTCCACAGAGACTGCTCTCCTTGCTGTCTCAGAGCAACTCCACACTGCTTGAGCTCCTCTCTCTCCTCTGTCCTCGTCCTTCTGGACCTCTCTGCTGCATTTGACAGTCAACCACCAGATCCTTATTTCCTCCTTTCAGGAACTTGGTGTCTCAGGCTCTGCTCTCTCCCTTCTCTCATCCTACCTTGACGGCCACACCTACCGGGTAACCTGGCGAGGATCTGTGTCGGAACCTTGTCCTCTTACTACGGGAGTTCCTCAGGGTTCCGTCCTGGGTCCCCTTCTCTTCTCGCTCTACACCAACTCTCTCGGTGCTGTCATTCGCTCACATGGCTTCTTCTACCACAGCTATGCTGATGACACCCAACTAATTCTCTCCTTCCCTCACTCGGATCTCTGCCTGTCTGACTGACATCTCTCAGTGGATCCGCCCACCATCTGAAAATCAACCCCGACAAGACTGAACTACTTCTCTTTCCGGGAAAAGATTCTCCTACACAGGACCTGACTGTTAACTTTCGTCACACTTCGGTGTGACACTGGACAGCCAACTCTCCCTGACTCCCAACGTTACACCAACAACACGATCCTGTAGATACTCGCTCTACAACATCAGGAGAATATGTTCCCTTCTCACTCAGAAGGCAGCACAGGTACTGATTCGGGTACTTTATTCTCCTTCCTCACCACCTTTGCCCCCATGTTCTTCGTCCTGTACACCTACTATCGCATTCTGCTAGTTTTAAGGAGGAGCTCGTCAAAATTCAGAGGAAAAGCAACAAACCTGTCTCCCTCACATTGTGACATCTATAAACTTTTTTTCTCATTGCTTTGTGAGGTTTTGCTCAATCGTTTTAATTCTGATGATGGCAATAGAATTGTTATAGCTGCCTTATCTCTGGAGTTTGTAATTATTCCTCCCCTCATTAACCCTCTAATTTATGGCCTGAATCTGCCTCAAATAAAAGCAGGAATGATCATACTTTTGAAGAAGGGTCCTGCTGCCAGACTTCAAACTTAACAATACAAAATAGTAGCAGCAGTAACAGTGAAGCCAAAATATGCTGCTACATGTTCACCATTTATTTCCATGGATATTCTTTGATTGAATTAATTTGAACGAGGCCTCTGAATAGAATTGTAGTTGTCGTAAAAGAGAATAATCTGATTGGACAGGTTGTATGTACATGGTTCAAAGCACACCTCCAAGTTGTTCTTTTGAATTTTTTCAAATCAAAAAATACTTATGTAAAGATACCATGTCCTGCTTTTACGGGCAATTAAAAATGGGGCCTTCAATATGATAATATAGAACAAATTAGATAATAATTTCACATTTGTGTGGTTGGAATTTGGTCTCAAAATATACTTAACGTTGTATTTCAAAATGTGTTTAGATGAAACATAGATGGAAGAAACACACTGAAGACGACATGAAGAAGAATACAGTCTACATTATGTATGATGTACGATGAAATACGCACAATACATTCAATATTATTAATTGTATATTAGACATATAAGCTATATTTATATTTTTATATATTTAAGGAAAAACTGCTACAATCCTCCCAAAATTAACTCACCTTTTTGTATTTACAATTTTTATAAACATCTTTTAATTGATTCACTTATTCTAATTTATTTAGTTTTAATCTAGTTTTAATCTAGTCTTAATATCACTTCACAATTTATATTGCATCACTTTCACTTAGTGACACACTGCAAATGAATGCTACAACTCCTCAAGCCGAGTTACATTACATTACATGTCATTTAGCTGACGCTTTTATCCAAAGCGACTTACAATAAGTGCATTCAACCAAAGGGAGTTCATCTGTCTTTCGTGTCAGTCAGCTGATGATTCATGTAAATGGGGTTATCCAGAAATTAACAACGAGTCTGAGCCAGAACTAATCTTAAACCTGAGCCAGCCCTAACAATAAACCTGAGCCAGTCATAACAATAAACCTGAGCCAGCCCTAATCTTAAACCTGAGCCAGCCCTAACAATAAACCTGAGCCAGTCATAACAATAAACCTGAGCCAGCCCTAACAATAAGCCTGAGCCAGCCATAACAATAAACCTGAGCCAGTCCTAACAATAAACCTGAGCCAGCCCTAACAATAAACCTGAGCCAGCCCTAACAATAAGCCTGAGCCAGCCGTAACAATAAACCTGAGCCAGCCCTAACAATAAACCTGAGCCAGCCCTAACAATAAGCCTGAGCCAGCCGTAACAATAAACCTGAGCCAGCCGTAACAATAAACCTGAGCCAGCCGTAACAATAAGCCTGAGCCAGCCCTAACAATAAGCCTGAGCCAGCCATAACAATAAACCTGAGCCAGCCCTAACAATAAACCTGAGCCAGCCCTAACAATAAACCTGAGCCAGCCCTAACAATAAGCCTGAGCCAGCCGTAACAATAAGCCTGAGCCAGCCCTAACAATAAACCTGAGCCAGCCCTAATAATAAATCTGAGCCAGCCCTAACAATAAACCTGAGCCAGTCGTAAGAATAAACCTGAGCCAGCCGTAATAATAAGCCTCAGCCAGCCGTAACAATAAACCTGAGCCAGCTCTATCAAGAACCTGAGCCAGTCCTAACAATAAACCTGAGCCAGCCCTAACAATAAGCCTGAGCCAGCCCTAACAATAAGCCTGAGCCAGCCCTAACAATAAACCTGAGCCAGCCGTAACAATAAACTTGAGCCAGCCCTAACAATAAGCCTGAGCCAGCCCTAACAATAAGCCTGAGCCAGCCGTAACAATAAACCTGAGCCAGCCCTAACAATAAGCCTGAGCCAGCCGTAACAATAAGCCTGAGCCAGCCCTAACAATAAGCCTGAGCCAGCCATAACAATAAACCTGAGCCAGCCGTAACAATAAACCTGAGCCAGCCCTAACAATAAGCCTGAGCCAGCCCTAACAATAAGCCTGAGCCAGCCATAACAATAAACCTGAGCCAGCCCTAACAATAAGCCTGAGCCAGCCCTAACAATAAGCCTGAGCCAGCCGTAACAATAAACCTGAGCCAGCCGTAGCAATAAATCTGAGCCAGCCGTAACAATAAACTTGAGCCAGCCCTAACAATAAGCCTGAGCCAGCTGTAACAATAAACCTGAGCCAGCCGTAACAATAAACTTGAGCCAGTCCTAACAATAAGCCTGAGCCAGCCGTAACAATAAACCTGAGCCAGCCATAACAATAAACCTGAGCCAGCCATAACAATAAACCTGAGCCAGCCCTAACAATAAGCCTGAGCCAGCCATAACAATAAACCTGAGCCAGCTGTAACAATAAACCTGAGCCAGCCATAACTATACGATTTGAGCATGTCCTAACAAAAAGTTTGCGGCCACTATGAACCAGTCTTCGACCTGCAGGTTTGAAAGGTCTTTCCCAAATTCTCCCTACTGATCAGCCGCAAGGAGACTCATAGTATTCCAAAAAGATGTCAAAATGTATAGAAGTCTACAATGGAATGACCCTTTAATTATTATTTTAATTTAGCAGTCTAGGATCCTGGTCTAGAGGGGATTCTTGGACCTTGGTCTAGAGGGGATTCTGGGGACCGTAGTATAAGAGGGGACTCTTGGACCCTGGTCTAGAAGGGACTCTTGGACCTTGGTCTAGAGGGGATTCTGGGACCCTGGTCTATCTGAGCTAAAGCAGAAGCACCCTCTAGTTGCTGCTCCATGTACCTTCATCTCAGTTTATAGCTTTATTAATGCAACTTTAACCATATGGTTTGTAAATGCAGCTTTTACTACTGAGTTGTCACTAAATCAGGTTTGCTTACAGGGATTAAGTTTCACCAGACACAGACAGACAGCAGAGGGCACTGAACTACTGAGCTTTATAGAATGTTTATTGCACCACCTTTCTTCTACACACGCACACAATCCTGTTACACACAATGAATCATGGTGCTTTTAACAGGTCATGGATGTTTATCCTGCTGCAAACACACACACACACACCCACACACACACGCACTTACACACACACACACACATACACGCACTTACACACACACACACACACACACACACACACAAACGGATCTCATGGGAGTCCTGCCACACATTCTTGCGAGCACACTTCATCGTAGCGGCTTCATGACCAAATAAGAGCAAAAACGCCTTGTCAGGTTTCTGTAAATAGACAAACAACACGACTCACATATGAAACACATTAAACATATTATTCCTTATTATCTTTGTGAGACGTTAAGTCTTCTGTCAAACTGTTCGTAGTTGAGGACAAGTTAATTTCACCTCAAACTTTGACCGGATTCATTGTTACAGAAGTTTAGTCCACTTAAAGCTCCTACACTCTCAAATCACATCCTGATCCTCTATGTGAACCAGTCTCTCTTTAGTCCTGATCCTCTATCTGAATCAGTCTCAGTGTAGTCCAGTTCTCTGAAGGGACCCTGGTGGTAGAGACAATACCACTTTAGTCCACATGAGGCGACACAATCACCACCAAACGAGTGTTTTTGTACTACGGTGGTAGTACTACAGTTTAGAAACACACTGTCACAAGTAAAAGTTCTGCCTTCCAACTTTGAAGTCAGTAAAACAACAAAGTAAAATAAAAGTAAAGTAGACAAATAATTGATGAATCAATTGAATAATACAATGTATTAATCTAAATCTAAAAAGTTAAATAATGTTTTCTTTTTAGCTTTCATTTATCATCATAATTTAATCGCTTAGGAAGAAGCATTTTGATTAAAATTGGCATGTAAATGTCTTTTATTTTTACTTATCATACAATAATATATCTAGTACTTTACTTTTCTCTTATATTGAACCAATTCACCAAGTGAAATTCCCGTAGCAATAAATGGCTTCTGAGTCCATCTTTTATCTTGAAGGGCCGGAACCGGATGCAGTGTGTTGTGTGACGCAGGATGACGCGGCCTGGTGAACTGAGACACTTCGACGCTCGTCCTCAGTCCGTCGGCCTCTCCCCGAACTCGCTCCCGGCGTCCCTGCTGCTCCCATCGGCTACCGACGGGCTAACAGACCGCGGCTCTAGCGTTACCGCTCCCTCGGTGGATTCGGTCGGTACCGGGCAGCGACCATGTCCGGAACACGCGCGGCTCTCGGTGCGCTCGCGCTGATGTGTTTGTTGGTCCGACGCGGCGGAACCTTCAACCTGGACGCGCGCACACCGAGCGTGTTCTCCGGTCCCACCGGGAGCTACTTCGGCTTCTCCGTGGACTTCTTCAGCCCGCCCAATGGCAAGCAGTGAGTATAAATATATACATACACCTATCTATACACATATAGACATCGATAACAATAATACAACTATACATAAATAAATACAGACTTCTTCAGATAATAACAAGAGTAAAAGCATTCCAGGATTCTATGGATGATTCATTACGATAAAAAGTACTATTACTAAAGTACATTAAGTTGGCCTTGAACAGAAGTAAAACCATTTAAGGCTTTAAGAAGTAAACAGACAGTATTTATGCACTACTACTAAATGAAATAAAAACGTGACGAAAAGTAGATTTGACTGGTCATTGATATCTTGGTTGTGTGTACTTCAGGATGTTTGTGTATATAGGAAGTATTTATAATTCACGCCTCAGTCTCATGTGATGCGTCTGGTTTCCTGCTGTTTCCTAAAAGATATGAAATGTATCTGTGTGCTCATTGCCGCTGATATTATTAAACTTCCTGCTGAAGGAAACTACGAGTCATCATGAAGTGTACTTCATGTCCTCACGCAAAGTATCAGAACTCTATTTAAGAAGGAAACAACATGAACCTGTCATGACATGAGACATGAGGCTCCAGTGATCAATACAAGTGATCAGGCGTTTAGCTAAAGAGGTAGGGTTAGTGTTCCACTTTAAGTTTACTACATCAAAATAGGGGGAGGCATGAGGACATGAGGGTGTGACAACATGAGGACAACAGAGTATGAGGACATGAGGGTGTGACAACATGAGGACAACAGGGTATGAGGACATGAGGGTGTGACAACATGAGGACAACAGAGTATGAGGACATGAGGGTGTGACAATATGAGGACAAGAGTATGAGGACACGAGGGTGTGACAATATGAGGACAACAGAGCATGAGGATATGAGGGTGTGACAACATGAGGACAACAGAGTATGAGGACATGAGGGTGTGACAACATGAGGACAACAGAGTATGAGGACATGAGGGTGTGACAACATGAGGACAACAGAGTATGAGGACATGAGGGTGTTACAACAGAGTATGAGGACATGAGGGTGTGACAATATGAGGACAAGAGTATAAGGACACAAGGGTGTGACAATATGAGGACAACAGAGTATGAGGACATGAGGGTGTGACAACATGAGGACAACAGAGTATGAGGACATGAGGGTGTGACAACATGAGGACAGAGTACGAGGACATGAGGGTGTGACAACATGAGGACAACTAAGTATGAGTACATGAGGGTGTGACAATATGAGGACATGAGGGTGTGACAACGTGAGGACATGAGGGTGTGACAATATGAGGACAAAAGTAAGGACACAAGGGTGTGACAATATGAGGACAACAAAGTATGAGGACATTAGGGTGTGACAACACAGGAACAGAAGAGTATGAGCACAGAAGGGTTATGAAACCTGAGTATGAGGCCATGGTAGTGTGACAATATGAGGACAAGAGCATAAGGACACATGGGTGTGACAATATGAGGACAACAGAGGATGAGGACACGAGGGTGTGACAACATGAGGACAACAGAGTATGAGGGTGTGACAACATGAGGACAACTGAGTATGAGGACATGAGGGTGTGACAACGTGAGGACATGAGGGTGTGAGGACATGAGGAAGATTTAAGGACATGACATAACAGGAAATGACCCAGGTGCGATGAAGCCCTCACTCTCCTCGTCTTCCTCCACAGGGCCGATGTTCTGGTCGGAGCTCCGCGGGCCAACACCACCCCCTCCAGCAGCGTGGAAGAGAGGGGGGCGGTGTACAGCTGTCCCTGGAAGACCTCCACCTGCCAGCAGCTGCAGTTCGACATCACAGGTACCAGAAGCTCTAAATAACACCCCATTGCTCAACTTATGAACAAACATTCAAAAGTTCAGTTTTAGCACCAAGGTGCAAAATCATGTTCATTACTTTTCTGTTTAATGGTCTTCAGAGTATACTGAAATTCATGCCACTGCCTTTTAAACGGGTTATAAATAAGAGAAAGAAGCTAGCAAACAGAAATAAATGAGTTCGGTGTACCAGGTACACGTACCCAGGTACACGTACCTTACCTGCCTGAGAACACACTCCCGGGATCCAATTGGACAGCGAGTGCTGTTGCCGTGGCGACGAGGCTGTCCCGCCGCAGGGCGCTCCTGTTGGGACACATGGAGGAATGTGAGGAAAGACGGGAGGACTCCTTCTCTCCTTATTGATTCAGTTATTGTGTTATTTATTGAGAAACTAAACTGGAACCACAAACACACTGAGGATCCGCTATAAAACTGCCTCTGATCTCCACCCGCTGGAGGACAAGGTGCTATTTATTCATTTAATGTTTCATGGCATTTATGGCCTGTGTGACTGGAACAACAGTCCATGTAAATAGTATTTTATAATCCTAGAAGTTGTGACTGAGACATGAACATGTTGAAGGCTCTGAGAGAAGACCTGGACTTACTGAAGGTCCAGGTTGGAGGTCTGGAGACGGATCGCCCCTCTTTAGATGTGGACTCTTACGATAAAGATCTATACTTCACATGAACAGATTGGGAAAGATGTCTGCAGCTCTCACAGAGTGAGGAGGAACCTGAAGGGACACTTCTTACTTCAGTCTTCTTTGTTTTAGTCCTTTTAAAAGAAAATCAACAAATACCAACAATAAACATCTCTCATTCAAACAGCATCACAAAAGAAGCCAAACGTAAAGAACAGAAATGTTTGACTTTGAGAACATAAACATTCTACAATAGAATCTAATATTCACAGAGTCAACATACTTCTCTATTTCACTACATGTAGAAAAAAATAATAAATACTTATTTATTGAAAACCAGTAACTAGGTTTATGTACACGATTGTGGTATTTGTACTTTATGTACATCTCTGAGAAATATTGGACTTTTCTACACACACACAGACACACACACACACAGACCTTCCTCCACTGCTCTGTAGTCATTGGTGTTGACCCTCATGGTGCTGCCCTGGTGCCTTTGAGCAACACGCTGTCACTGGACTCACCGTGCTGGTGGAAACGGTCACACTGCCTCTGGCTGTAATCCTGTAAGTGAGTGGCCTAGTTGTGTGTGTGTGTGTGTGTGTGTGTGTGTGTGTGTCCACCCACAATCGAGGCCTTTGTTGGTCTGACGTGATCGCTGGCCAAAGCTCCACTGGACCGGAGGACAGAATTGACTGGAATTATTCTGTCTGTTATGACTCCGTGTTGTCTAGCTAACCATAACTTTTTTGGGGGGGTGTTATCTGATTTTGTCTACAAGAATTGTGCGTCTTCCTCGTTCAGCAGCTCGTACAGGAAGTGGGTGCAAAAGAGAGATATGAATATATTGATAAATCCAGTTTGTCCACGTTAGTTATGTAAACACGCCATCAGGTCCAGCAGATAACAGAATCTACCCGCGTGTTCTGGGTGAACTGAGCGTTAAAGTCACTGCTAGGAGCTTAAATGTTGTGTCTGGGTCCACGGTGGACTGGTGTCTGCTGGAGGATCTGGGTCCACGGTGGACTGGTGTCTGCTGGAGGACCTGGGTCCACGGTGGACTGGTGTCTGCTGGAGGATCTGGGTCCACGGTGGACTGGTGTCTGCTGGAGGATCTGGGTCCACGGTGGACTGGTGTCTGCTGGAGGATCTGGGTCCACGGTGGACTGGTGTCTGCTGGAGGATCTGGGTCCACGGTGGACTGGTGTCTGCTGGAGGATCTGGGTCCACGGTGGACTGGTGTCTGCTGGAGGATCTGGATCCGCGCGGCGGTCTCTGCTGGAGGAGAAGTTGGGAACTTTGAGTTAGTTTGATGTTCTAAAAGCTTCGGTCGGATTCAGGAGGAGCAGTGAAGCAGACACCCGTGACCTCCTTCACTCTGACTCAGACTTTGTTCTTGTGGTCGTCGCCTCATTTCTTGTGGTCGATGATGATTGCCAAACCCCCTTAAAAAACAAAGAGTTCGTTGCCGTGGCTACGACACTGTTAAGATGCTAACTAGTTGGCAAGGGTGCTCGGCTGGTTGACAACGAGATCCGCGTAGTCGTCGTCGTTGTTGTTGTTGTTACTCAAACCGGTTCAACAAAGACCTCTAAATCCAGCAGACGACGCTGAGTTTCCCAACCTGACAGGAAACTCCCCAAAGACGCCCCCCCTCCTCTCGCCCCCCCCATCCCTCTCAGACCGTCAGACGGGCGGCTCCTTTTATTTCAGCTCGCTGGTGGTTTTGTCTTTAAGGCCTTAAGCCAGCTGGCTCCGGTGTGGGAGGAGGACACGGCGTCTGTGTTACCACACTAGGCAGGTCCCTCTCCTCATCTCAGGGTTCATACTGCTCTCAGGGAAAGGGCCTGTGAGGAACCTTTATCTGGTCCTGGACCAGTATCGGGTTAATCTGATGATCTTCTGTAAGACCTGCTTACTTTATAGACTAATTGATATTTCTATATAAAGTTATTCTTCATGCGTAGACTAAGTTAGAGATTAGAAAATGGTGAAGCAACGGCATCTTTGTCCACAGTGAGTACCAGAATCATCACAAAATGTCCCTTTTGGTAAATCAAACTTTTTTTAAGGTAAAAAACTGAGATTTAGTAAAACTAAAACTAGGAGTTCTCTTTAATTAGTATTCAATGATCACCACTATATATCTCAGTTTTAATGCCAATTAATAATAGGAGTACTCTCTCTTTCCAGATGACAGGAAGAATACAGAAGGAGCTCAGATGGAGTTTAAATCCAAGCAGTGGTTCGGTGCATCCGTGCGATCTGATGGAGAACACATACTGGTGAGAGAGGTTTACCTTGACAGAGCTGCTGCTTCTTTCTGCCTCAGACTTACTGTCAACAATGTCCACCTGCAGAAAGCTCTCGCAATACGGCCCGATATGATATTCTCACGATACGATATTCTCACGATATTCTCGCAATACGATATTCTCATGATACTGAAGTCACAATACGATATTCTCACGATACTGAAGTCACAATACGATATTATCACAATACGATATTATCACAATACGATATTATCACGATACTGAAGTCACAATACGATATTATCACGATACTGAAGTCACAATACGATATTATCACGATACTCAAGTCACAATACGATATTATCACGATACTGAAGTCACAATACGATATTATCACGATACTGAAGTCACAATACGATATTATCACGATACTCAAGTCACAATACGATATTATCACGATACTGAAGTCACAATACGATATTATCACGATACTGAAGTCACAATACGATATTATCACGATACTGAAGTCACAATACGATATTATGACGATACTGAAGTGACAATACGATATTATCACGATACTGAAGTCACAATACGATATTATCACGATACTGAAGTCACAATACGATATTATCACGATACTGAAGTCACAATACGATATTATCACGATACTGAAGTCACAATACGATATCACGATACTGAAGTCACAATACGATATCACGATACTGAAGTCACAATACGATATTATCACGATACTGAAGTAACAATACGATATTATCACGATACTGAAGTCACAATACGATATTATCACGATACTGAAGTGACAATACGATATCACGATATTACAACGATATTATCATTTTACTGAAGTGACAATACGATATTATCACGATACTGAAGTCACGATATATTATGACGATACTGAAGTGACAATACGATATTATCACGATACTAAAGTCACAATATTGCACTATTATAGTACTAAAGTCACAATATGATATTATCACGATACTGAAGTCACAATACGATATTATCACGATACTGAAGTCACAATATGATATTATCACGATACTGAAGTCACAATACGATATTATCATGATACTGAAGTCACAATACGATATTATCACGATACTGAAGTGACAATACGATATTATCACGATATTATCACGATATTATCATTTTACTGAAGTGACAATACGATATTATCACGATACTGAAGTCACGATATTATATTATGACGATACTGAAGTGACAATACGATATTATCACGATACTGAAGTCACGATATGATATTATGACGATACTGAAGTCACAATACGATATTATCATGATACTGAAGTCACAATACGATATTATCACGATACTGAAGTCACAATATGATATTATCACGATACTGAAGTCACAATACGATATTATCATGATACTGAAGTCACAATACGATATTATCACGATACTGAAGTCACAATATGATATTATCACGATACTGAAGTCACAATACGATATTATCACGATACTGAAGTCACAATACGATATTATCACGATACTGAAGTCACGATATGATATTATGACGATACTGAAGTGACAATACGATATTATCACGATACTGAAGTCACAATACGATATTATCACGATACTGAAGTCACAATACGATATTATCACGATACTGAAGTCACAATACGATATCACGATACTGAAGTCACAATACGATATTATCATGATACTGAAGTCACAATACGATATTATCATGATACTGAAGTCACGATATGATATTATGACAATACTGAAGTGACAATACGATATTATCACGATACTGAAGTCACAATACGATATTATCACGATACTGAAGTCACAATACGATATTATCACGATACTGAAGTCACGATATGATATTATGACGATACTGAAGTGACAATATGATATTATTACGATACTGAAGTCACGATACGATATTATCATGATACTGAAGTGACAATACGATATCACAATACTGAAGTCACAATACGATATTATCACGATACTGAAGTCACAATACGATATTATCACGATACTTAAGTGACAATACGATATTATGATACTGAAGTCACAATACGATATCACGATACTGAAGTCACAATATGATATTATCACGATACTGAAGTGACAATACGATATTACCACGATACTGAAGTCACGGTACGATATTGTTGCATGTTGTTGACATGTTGTCTGCGTGTTTCTAGGCCTGTGCTCCGCTCTATCAGTGGTCGACCTTCGGCGTCTCGGAGCGAGAGCCGGTGGGAACGTGCTACCTGAAGAAAGAGAGCACGGTGGTGGAGTACTCGCCCTGCAGATCAAGTCAGTCATTGGAGATAAAACCTTCCCAGAGACCAAAGCGATGTGCATCTGAAGTTTAGTTTTTTTTTTCTCTGTGCAGAGGCCAACTCACCTGAGGGGCAGGGCTTCTGCCAGGCCGGCTTCAGCGTCGACTTCCTCAAGGTACTTTGTGGTTGCAGTACTTTTATTACAATAGACAATTAGAGTACTTCACTGACACAGTTTCACTTTTCTTTTCTCTGCTTTCAGAAGAACAACAGAGTGGTTGTGGGAGGACCAGGCAGCTTCTACTGGCAGGGTGAGTGTGTGTGTGTGTGCGTGTGTGTGCGTGTGTGTGCGTGTGTGTGCGTGTGTGTGTGTGTGTGTGTGTGTCTCACTGCCTGTATCCTGGCTCAGACGCACATGTTTTCTGTCTCTCCTTCAGGGGTGTGTTTCCTAATTACTGTTTCCTGTTGAGTCAACAGACACACACACACACCCCTGTGTTTCTGATTAGACATCGTTCACGATGGTTCTTTTAATTACATGTGTTGACAGTTCTTCTACCCCTAAAGATTGTAAAGAAACTCATGTCGACATCTTCTCTTCCTGTTCTTCTTCCTCTCCTCCTCCGATGTTCTCTGCTGTGATGTCGTCCTCCTCAGGTCAGCTGATCTCTGATGACCTCTCTGAGATCTTCTCCCGGTTTGACAGCCTGTACATCACTCAGTACGAAAACACACTCGCCACCAAGTCGGCCATCGCTCAGTACGACGACAGTTACCTCGGTAACCACGGACACACACACTCACTCACACGCACGCACGCACACACACACACGCTCACACACACGCACGCACACACACACACTGATGCTCGGTGTGTTTCGTCTCATCAGGTTACTCTGTGACGGTCGGAGACTTCAACGATGACGGGAAAGAAGGTGAGATTAGAGCAGCTGATTATCGATTATTGATCATCGATAGCGGCGATGATGATCTCTCGTTCCATTGGGATTATTTATTTTAACGAATATTCGTAGTAGCCGTGAAGCTAATGCAGGTCCACTATGATGCGTTCAGGGTCCGCTCAGTGAAGATGAGACGTTTATCACGTCATCGTGTTCACAGGTCATCTGTAGAATGTCGTTTTAGTGTTAAACGTTTTTCACTTGAATATAAAACAGATATACGGGATGTTTAACGCCCCGACAAGCTTTAAGCTCTTTATTATACAGCATTGAATATAATAACAATACGAATACCTGTTATACAAATATATCTGACATCTGTTCATCATCCTGTAAGTAATTAACACCCATAGACGACGTAACAAAGTCAATACAGACAATAATAAAGACCTGTGATCTCTCCATAGATTACGTGACCGGAGTCCCTCGAGGACACAACGCACTGGGTTACGTGAGTGTTAGAGGACACACACACTGTTAGAGGACACACACACACTGTTGGAGGACACACACACACACTGTTGGAGGACACACACACACTGTTGGAGGACACACACACTGTTAGAGGACACACACACTGTTAGAGGACACACACACACTGTTAGAGGACACACACACACTGTTAGAGGACACGTTAGAGGACACAACGCACTGGGTTACGTGAGTGTTGGAGGACACACACACCGTGTGAAAACGTCTCACCCTGTTGTGTGTTTTTCTTCTTCAGGTGAACATCTTCAACGGCCTCAACATGGGCTCCATGGTGAACTTCACAGGAGCTCAGGTGAACAAACGTTCCTTGTGGGTTCTGAGCTCTTCAGCTCCGTGGTCCTCTGATCACTGAGGTCATAGGTCATTGCTAAGGGATTGACCACACCTGAGAGGAGTTCTTCTACCTTCTCGCTGCCAGAATGATTGTAACTGTATATGAGGCCATAACCCCTCCTCTCCGTCTCCAGATGGCGGCATACTTCGGACACTCGGTGGCTGCTTCAGATGTCAACAATGACGAGTAAGTGTCTTATGTGAGAAGAGTCCCGCTCTACTTCCTGCAGAGGTTTAGAAGACATCTATGACCAAAGGTCCTGGTCTGGTCTGGTCTGGTCTGGTCTGGGGGGCTTAAAGAGATCTTCACACTGAGGTCTCTTTTAACGTCTGTGTTCGTGTTGAGGGGAAAGACGTCATGGAAGTGACGGTGATACGTCTGCCTGCTCGTTGCCTCCAGAAACGTTAACGAAGGTTCTTTTCAGCTGGGTGGATCTGTTGGTTGGAGCTCCTCTCTTCATGGACAGAGGGTCAGATGGAAAACTGAGGGAGGTGGGACAGGTAGGACACACACACACACACACACACACACACACACACACTAGTTAGTTCTGCAGGCTCATGCAGGGGTCGGCAAACCTCTTGACTGGTGGGTCACAGCGGGTTCTAAGGGGCCAGGAACAGGTGACGTGTTTGTGTGGTAAGTGACACGTGGAGATCATTACATGAGAGGATCTGTCTTTCAACGAGTAGCAAAGCATTTATTTGCAAAGCAATTTAACAAATTTGAAAGAGTGTAACAACTTCATGAGGACCAGGGACCCGAACGCAACGCTTGTCTTTGTCCGTCTAGTGGCGATGCTTTTGACACGGCCAACGGAACCGTCGTGGTGCTTCATCCGTCCCACTGTGAGGGAGACGCCTTGAGCGTCCTGCAGGCGCCGCAGTGCATTATCTTCTCCTCTGCGTCATAAATCAGCCATTCTCAGCTGGGCGTTTCTTTCTCTTTGGCTCCTTTTATTTTGGGGTTTCATGACCAGTTTTTGTCTCTTGTGTCCTCCTGGTTTTCCTCCACCTGCACGGAGCAGCTCTACCACCTGTTACGTGTGTTTGCGCGTCCACGTCGCTTAGTAACCAGCGTACGGTGGACGGGAAGGTTTAAAGGCGCTGGCAAGCTTCTGCTTCTGCAGCTGAGGCTTTACGGGCCGTCGAGTCAATGGACGCGTTTTTTATTCATGTTGCAGAGCGATTCACCTCCAGAACAACAGGTGGAGTCACGTGTTTGAAGACGACCTGGAGAGTCACGTCTTTGTGTGTGGAAGTCGCTGGTTGCTTTATTTATGTATCATAGACTTTATTGCCCCGTGCGTCCACACTGCTGCTTTTCATCAAGGACACATTTGTCCCGTATTTTCCTCCATGACTTTGTCCCCTCGTTGGTGGAGATCTCCCTCCATGAATCAGAGGCCATCCGGCGTCCTCATAGTCCGCCAATGACGGCTTGTACAAGCGCTCATATTTAAAAGCTCTTCAATCTGATCCGTTCTCTCGTAAACGCTCTTCCTTTTAATAACGGCCGTATTGTGCTGTGAAAACGGAGACGTGAGACTCTAAAGGACGTAGTCAGAGACCAATCACAGCCTGCTGCTGCAGGAGGCTGCAAAGCTTTAGACGGGAAAATAGTCGCCGCGGTCCGTAGTCTGTTTTTAAGAAGCACCGATGTGAGCGAGCGTTCTGGGTGATGATCTCATGACACGTTAATAACCGCAGTTACAATAATATAATAATAATAATAATGTATTTACAGCCGTGCATCCAGCAATGCATCACTCAGCTCAGACATCGCTAGGATACCTGAAATCATACCCACAATGCATCACTCAGCTCAGAATACAAAATGTCAGAATACTGGTCTCACTCTCTCCTCCATTGTGAAACCCACACGTGTGTCGTGTTTGCCAGGTGTCGGTGTACCTGAGTCGAGGAGGCTTCTCCTTCCACCCACCTCAGCTGCTCACGGGCTCAGAGGTTTACGCCCGGTACGGCTCGGCCATCGCAGCGCTGGGAGACCTGGACATGGACGGATACAACGGTGAGGCGCACACACACACACACACACACACACACACACACACACACACAGAGAACCTGGTGCATCCTGCCTCGCCTCACGTCTCTCGCCTCGCTCTAGATGTGGCCATCTCTGCTCCGTACGGCGGCCCCGACCATCACGGCGTGGTCTACATCCACAACGGGCGGCCTCGGGGGCCTGACTCCTCCCCCTCTCAGGTAGACACCACGGCGAGCTGCAGCTTTTCACTGTGGTTCGTCGACGCGTTTGTTCCTGGTGAAGCTGCAGAGCTGAAGACGTTGAATCAGCTGTCGTGGGAACGTTGTTGTTCAACACGTCTTTGAGGTCGTTTCACACAGCGTTCGTATGTCGGGCAGCATTCAAGCTCCCGTTGTCTCTCACTCTGTTCAGATAGCTGGAGTAACCCCTCCCCCCTTTAGACTCTTAACTCTGGACACGGGAAGGAAGTCAAACGTACCGTTTTCTGGTTGTGTCTCAGGTCCTCCAGGGAAGGTGGGCGTCCAGTTACATGCCTGCTAGCTTTGGCTACTCCATGACTGGAAACACCGACATAGACCAGAATGGATATCCAGGTAAACACGCACACACACACACACATATATATATATATATACCCAGTTGCAGTAGTCCAGGAGGGAGATGATCAGAGCCTGAATCAGTACCTGCGCTGCGAGGACGTAAAGTTAAAGTCGGGTTCTGGGTCAGAGAATCTTTTCATTTTAGACTCTTTTTAAACACAAACTCAGACACACAGGTCTTGGAGGTGAAACAGGTCGAACTACGACTCTTTCTGCTGTGCTCTGAACTCAGGGGTCAGAGGTCAACGCACATCGCAAGTAAAACAAAGTTTACTGCGTTTAAATATTTAATCATTAATCTCTGCGACAAGAATCTCATAGATTAAATGGTCAACTTGGACAGCCCTAATATATATTTTATGTATTTAAACACCTATACGTGTGTAAAGGGGCGTTAACTTTCCATGGGAAGTTACGCTCGGGAAATTTTACCTTTTTTTTTCTTTTTTTCTTTCTGAAAACATATAAATGTTTATTTGTGTACATTCCTGTGGAGAGTTTACAACTTTGGATTTTCCTTCAATTTTGCAAACCTACTAATGACTCCTCATCCCACAGATCTCATAGTGGGAGTGTTCGGAGCAGACAAGGCTGTTTTATACAGGTAACCATAGTGTGCGTGTGTGTGTGTGTGTGTGTGTGTGTGTGTGTGTCCCTCCTGCTGTGTCAGTAGTTTAATGAGGCCACCTCTGATATCAAAGAGCTGCTCTTTTCTTCAGGTTTCTCCTACTGACTTTATAGAAGCTATTAGGGCACATTAACACTGTGTGTGTGTGTGTGTGTGTGTGTCAGAGCTCGCCCAGTGATCAGTGTCAACGCCACGTTGGACATGACGCCGCAGATCATCAACCCGGAGGAAAAGACCTGCACGCTTCCTGGTACCTCCACGCTGGTGTCCTGGTGAGTTCTCCCTTCATTGATTCATTAAAGTACAGACCGTCCTTCACCAGAGGAGAGGAGATGATTGCTGGCGGAGGGGATGTTTAAATAGAGACGTGTCATTGGTCCGTTCAGGAGAAACGATGATCGTGACGTAGAACGTGTGAGTAACGTGAGTTTGTTTTGGCGTCTGGTGTTTCCACAAGACGCTCGACAGACTTTGCAATAAATCCTCTTCTCATCCAACGTAACTTAAGTCGGATTTTCTAAAACCAAAAAAACGTTATCACACGTTTACGTTAATACCGTTTTCCTTTGAAGCTGGTTGTTAGTGTGAGTCGTGCAGACACACTAACCGCTGCAGACTGACGTCACCAACAAGCGTCTCCGTCCATCGCAACGCCGCCTAAACGCCGCCTTGGCCTTTCCCGTCTCCTCATCAACTCTCCTAACCACCTTTCCTTGACCCCGTGACCTTTCCCAAAGAGGTCAATGTGGTTGGGAACAAATGTTAGGGGGTCATTTCTTTGACTATTCGATACCATAAACTTTACAATGTTCACTGAGGGAATAAATCAAGAGAGAAGAGTCATTTCCTCATAGACGTCTATGGGAGCAGAGGAGTCGCCCCCTGCTGGTCACTACAGAGAAGTAGAGTCATTTCCTCATAGACGTCTATGGGAGCAGAGGAGTCGCCCCCTGCTGGTCACTACAGAGAAGTAGAGTCATTTCCTCATAGACGTCTATGGGAGCAGAGGAGTCGCCCCCTGCTGGTCACTACAGAGAAGTAGAGTCATTTCCTCATAGACGTCTATGGGAGCAGAGGAGTCGCCCCCTGCTGGTCACTACAGAGAAGTAGAGTCATTTCCTCATAGACGTCTATGGGAGCAGAGGAGTCGCCCCCTGCTGGTCACTACACAGAAGTAGAGTCATTTCCTCATAGACGTCTATGGGAGCAGAGGAGTCGCCCCCTGCTGGTCACTACAGAGAAGTAGAGTCATTTCCTCATAGACGTCTATGGGAGCAGAGGAGTCGCCCCCTGCTGGTCACTACAGAGAAGTAGAGTCATTTCCTCATAGACGTCTATGGGAGCAGAGGAGTCGCCCCCTGCTGGTCACTGCACAGAATGCAGCTTTAACTGCTCATATCATATTCTGGTGTCATAGAAGCACAACAACATGTTTGTTTTTCTCTGCCCGTTGTTGTTGACGTGCTGCAGTGACGTGTTTACTGTCTGTGTGTCCAGCTTTACGGTGAAGTACTGTCTGAAGGCCAGTGGCCGTGGAGCTCCAGCTACTCTCAGTAAGTTAAACCGCAGCAGACCACACATTCGCCATAGAGACATGGTGTCTCCATTAACAAGACCTGCTGCAGCTTCATGACCTTCTGGTGTCCGGCAGATTTTCGCGTGGACCTCCTGTTGGACCGTCTCAAGCAGAAGGACGCCACTAAGCGCGTTCTCTTCCTGCACAGTCGGACCTTGCAGTTCTCCAAGAACATGACGGTGTCCAACGGGAAAGCTCCAACCTGCGAGGAGCAGGAGGTCTTCTTGAGGGTGAGGAAATGAACCAGAGAGCAGATCAAGATCGTTTGTGTCCCTTCAAAATAAGAGCAGAAATGGCGTCTCTGCAGCTGCACGTGAACGTCCAGCATTAACCCCTTAAAGTAAGAACAGAAACGTGCGTTTGTCAGGACGACCGAGAGTTCCGCGATAAGATCACTCCCATCTCCGTGGCGATGGAGTACAGCCTGGACCACCAGAGGGCCGCGGACCAAACCGGACTTCAGCCCATCCTCGACATGTCGGCGCCGTCCAACGTCACCAAGCAGGTAACTCACCTGTGTGCTCTGCTTTCTGCTGACGCTTTGGACCCAACATGTCACTCGTCTAAATGTCTTTTATTTCTCACTTTGTCTTCCTCCTTCCTGTCACACTTCCTCCTCTGGTTCATTCCTTTCCTTCCTCCTCTCCCCCTCCGTCCTCGCTCCCTCAGGCCCACATCCTGTTGGACTGTGGAGAAGACAACATCTGCAAACCTGACCTCAGGTTGTCTGTGACAAGGTAGGAGACCTTGATGATGATCTTATAGACCTTCGTTTAGTCTTTTCATATGTGTTGGTTTATATATAAAACAGAAGGATGTTTTCGGTCCATAATGCGTTCATTACATTACGTGTCATTTAGCTGACATACGATATTGGTGGCGTCCATCGTAAGCTGCCATTGATCCACCTGCTGTTTCTTCGGCCTCAGCGACCGCGAGCAGATCTTCATCGGAGACGACAACGCGCTGACCCTGGAGGTCAGCGCGGAGAACCTGGGGGAGGGAGCCTACGAAGCCGAGCTGCACGTCTTCCCCCCGCAGCAGGCCGACTTCACCGGGGTGGTTCGCAGCCAGGTAACGGGCGGGGAGGGGCTTATCTCCATGGAAACCCAGGTCGAGTCAGCCGCTTGTTTAAGTCATTGAAACATTGTCTCATAACCAGAGAAAGCAAGCGGCTTCCTGTTTGAGTTCATGACATCATCATGATGCATGAGGTGTGATGCTGAATCTATTTACATCTCAGTAAACCCCAAATAAACAGATTTAATCACAATAAACGGAAAATAAGGACGTAATGATGCCAAAAGTCTGAATTCAGGTTCTGTTGTTTCTCTCCTTGAGACTAGTAAACAACATTTAAAATACTTGTTTTCTAAGTGGAGGTCCAGCGGCACGCCATCAGTGAGGAGCATCTGGTCTCTGATTGGCTGTAGAGACACAGCGTCACAGGCAATGCAAACTAGGTTAATGTTCATGAAACACCGGGACACCTCCCAACCCGTCAGGCCCGCTCATGTTTACTCGTGTTCAGTTGTGCAGCATTTTCATAAAAAACAGACACGACGGTGTGTCCGATGATGAAGATGATGATGATGATGATGTCTCGTTATTTCACAGAGCCTCAGCAGGTTGTCCTGTGCTTACAAGAAGGAGAACCAGACCAAGATGGTGGTGTGTGACCTGGGAAACCCCATGAAGGGAGGAACCAAGGTCAGTAAAGGCAGCAGCACTAATACTATGACCTAGGCACTTCCCATGATGCATTGGGGGTGATCTAAGAGCTGGCCTCACTGTTACCTAATTCGCTGTCTCCTTTTGCCGTCTCGTCCCGCTCTGGTTGGCCAGGTGCTGGCGGAGTTGCAGTTCAGCGTGCACCAGCTGTCGGAGGAGGACACCTCGGTGAAGTTCGACGTGCAGATGGTCAGGTACGGTCCAGTAGAGCTTCATCGGGGCGGTGAGTCAGTGGCCCCTTTGAGTGAGGAGAAGAACAGACGGACGCTGAATGTTTCAGATGAAGATGTTTAGAGATAAATATCTTTATAATTCTGTTGGATGAAATCCAGCGTTCTGATTATTCACCGATTATGTCCGGTTGCTGTTCACGTTGACCCGAGCGTTTCGTATCACTCAAAGTAACAGGTTAGATTTTGTGCGACCAATAGTTGACATTTTAGCTTTTTTTTTTTTTTTTTTGACTAAACTGGTTCAGGACCAGTTAACATGAGAAGATTCAACCTTCACATCCCTTTGAAGCTTCTGTTGTGTACATTTTATTTACGCCCTCATGAATCTCTCATTGTTTCAGCTCAAACCAGTTTGACAACACGAGTCCTCGAGTCTCCACCGTCACCAAGCTGGCCGTCCTCGCCAAAGTCTCCATCAGAGGGTCAGAGCACGCCGTCGACATCTCCTACTGCCGTCCACGTCTCCTACTGCCGTCCACGTCTCCTACTGCCGTCCACGTCTCCTACTGCCGTCTACATCTCCTCCTACCGCCGTCCACGTCTCCTACCGCCGTCCACATCTCCTACCGCCGTCCACATCTCCTCCTACTGCCGTCCACGTCTCCTACTGCCGTCCACGTCTCCTCCTACTGCCGTACACGTCTCCTACTGCCGTCCACATCTCCTCCTACTGCCATACACATCTCCTCCTACTGCCGTACACATCTCCTCCTACTGCCGTACACATCTCCTCCTACTGCCGTCCACATCTCCTCCTACTGCCGTCCACATCTCCTCCTACTGCCGTCCACGTCTCCTCCTACTGCCGTACACATCTCCTCCTACTGCCGTACACATCTCCTCCTACTGCCGTACACATCTCCTCCTACTGCCGTCCACATCTCCTCCTACTGCCGTCCACATCTCCTCCTACTGCCGTCCACGTCTCCTCCTACTGCCGTACACATCTCCTCCTACTGCCGTACACATCTCCTCCTACTGCCGTACACATCTCCTCCTACTGCCGTACACATCTCCTCCTACTGCCGTACACATCTCCTCCTACTGCCGTCCACGTCTCCTCCTACTGCCGTCCACATCTCCTCCTACTGCCGTCCACGTCTCCTCCTACTGCCGTACACGTCTCCTCCTACTGCCGTCCACGTCTCCTCCTACTGCCGTCCACATCTCCTCCTACTGCCGTACACATCTCCTCCTACTGCCGTACACATCTCCTCCTACTGCCGTACACATCTCCTCCTACTGCCGTACACATCTCCTCCTACTGCCGTCCACATCTCCTCCTACTGCCGTCCACATCTCCTACTGCCGTACACGTCTCCTCCTGCTGCCGTACACGTCTCCTACTGCCGTCCACATCTCCTCCTACTGCCGTATACGTCTCCTCCTACTGCCGTATACGTCTCCTCCTACTGCCGTCCACATCTCCTCCTACTGCCGTATACGTCTCCTCCTACTGCCGTATACGTCTCCTCCTACTGCCGTCCACGTCTCCTCCTACTGCCGTCCACGTCTCCTCCTACTGCCGTCCACGTCTCCTCCTACTGCCGTCCACGTCTCCTCCTACTGCCGTACACGTCTCCTCCTGCTGCCGTACACGTCTCCTCCTGCTGCCGTCCACATCTCCTCCTGCTGCCGTACACGTCTCCTCCTGCTGCCGTACACGTCTCCTCCTGCTGCCGTACACGTCTCCTCCTGCTGCCGTACACGTCTCCTCCTGCTGCCGTACTTGTCTTTTGATGTGTGTGTGTGTGTGTGTGTGTGTGTGTGTGTCAGGTCGGCGTCTCCCGGTCAGTTTCTGCTCCCGATCACCAACTGGAAGCCTCAGAAGCGTCTCGTGTACCAAGACGACATGGGACCTCAGATTCTACATGTCTACGAAGTACAAATACACGGCTAAGTACTCCAAACATGTATATTTATAAATATGTAGGCAGGTGTAGAGTTGTACTTATAGAGTAATATAGAACTGATTGAGGTACTTTTACAGAATCTTTGGTTTTTGTACTTTGCTCGAGTATTTCTTCTTAATACTTCTACATCTTAAAGGGAACGGTTGTACATTTACTTTTTATTTTGCCGCTGCTTGAGGAGCCGTCCAGTCCAACGCGTCCTCCAAACAGGAAGTAGATTAAGATCCGGGCCACTAATCAATAACGTGATCGCCCCCCTCAGCTCCTGAACAGCGGGCCGAGCACCATCAGCAAGGCGGCGCTGGAGGTGGAGTGGCCGTACCGCTACACCAACGGCTCGCTGCTCTACATCACCAGCTACCAAACGGACGGGCCCATGAACTGCACCACGGACGTGGAGATCAACGCCCTCAACCTGTCGGTGAGGAGGGATTTCCTGTAGCTCACTTAGCTCCCTGTTAACTTCAGCAGAACGCGTTTGTGAACTGATGCTCATCAATCGTCATTGTGTGTGTGCGTTAGAACCCGCTCTCCTCAGGGAAGAACATCAGCAAGGTTCCTCCACCCAGAGAACGAGAGACGGAGGGACGGAGCCGAAACAAGAGAGACGTCGAGTCCACAGACGCACAGAACGACCTGCACACTCTGGTACACACACACACACACACACACACACACACACACATCTCTAGATACCAGGAATATACCCAAAATAAGTCAAACATACAAGGAATTTGTCGTGACAGTAGACATAAAATAGACAACAAGACAGCAGTGCACAAGTAAGTAAATGAAATGCTAATGCAATGGGGTTAGTGGAATAAGGCTACAGGGTTAGTATAAAATAAATAATAAAGTGCACTATCGAACAAGTGACAAATTAAAAATTACAATTAGACACACACATCTATATATATATATATATATATACACATATTAAGTTTTTCTTGTTACAACTGAACTTTTTAATTAGTATTCTTATTAATATGGAACAATATATATGAAGCTGGTTGCTTAGTAACACTATGGTGTGATTCTCACGTACCTTTTGCACAAATAGCTATTTGTGTGTGTGTGTGTGTGTGTGTGTGTGCGTGCGTGTGTGTGTGCGTGTGCGCGCGTGCGTGTGTGTGTGTGTGTGTGTGCGCGTGTGCGTGTGCGTGTGTGCGTGTGTGTGTGTGTGTGTGTGTGTGTGTGTGTGCGTGCGTGCGTGCGTGTGTGTGTGTGCGTGAGCAGGACTGCAGCACGGCGGAGTGTTTGCGTATCAGGTGTCAGGTGGGCCGTCTGGAGAGGACGAAGAACGCCATCCTCTTCATTTATTCCCGCCTGGCCGTGGACACCTTCCTGAAGGTTTGTGACATCACTTCCTGTTCCGAGGAGATCGCCTCCTGCGTCCTCTCACGCGCGCGTTCCCCTTTCAGCCGGAGAACCAGAACCGGTCCTACGTGGTCCACGCCACGGCCTCCTTCAGCGTCATCGAGATGCCGTACAAAAACCTGGTGCCGGAGCTCCCGTCCAACAGCACCACGGTGAGGGACACAACGCGTCCTCGTGCATCATCTACGCTCAGCTTCTTTTCCCTCTGGCTTTAAAGCCTCCGCTAAACGAAGTCTATCCCGCCATGATGACCTCACTGATGTTTCTCTAGCTAACCCATGACAGCTAACCGCTAACCAATCAGCGTCCCTGTACCGCTGACTTCCTGTTGTGACGGCGGTAGATGTGAATGACGCGTGTGTCCTCAGGTGAGCGTGTCGGTCATGTGGGTGGCCGACCCCCCCCAGCAGGTCCCCGGCTGGGTCGTGGCTCTGGCGGTTCTGTCCGGCCTGCTGCTGCTGGCGCTGCTCATCTTCATCATGTACAAGGTGAGAAGAGGAGGTCGGCAGTAACATTGAGCATGTTTGGTGTGAGACCTTAAATAAATAAGCAGGAAGAGGTGCATTGTGGGTAACGTACCAGGTAGAAGACTCAAGACTGGAATAAAAACTGGAAGACCTTTTGAAGTCACGTGTTTAAACGAGGAGTAGTGCAGGGGCCCCTCTTCCTCACCCTCCTCCTCCTCGTCTACTTCCTCCTCTTTCTCCTTCTCTTCCTTTTCTTTCCCATCCTTCTACTTCCTCTTCCTCCTCCTCCTCCTCTTTCTCCTCCCCTTCTTTTTCTTCCTGATGTTCAGGTTTCTCTAATGAATAAGAACAGAATATTTTCAGTAGGCAGGTTAGCGACTCATTCCTCTGGTTTTAAACGGTAAACGTGCTCCTCTGTCTCCTTCTCCTCCTCCTCCTCCTCCTCCTCCTCCTCCTAGCTGGGTTTCTTTAAGCGGGTCCGCCCCCCCCAGGAGGACTGCACGGAGAAGGAGCAGCTTCAGCCGGAGGAGAACGGGAACACGGACGCTTAGAAGACGCCAGGAGACAAAATGTTAGTGCCAAGAAAGAAGCTCCGCCTCCGCTAATGTCATGGATCAGTAGCTTAGCATAGAGATGGTATGCTAAGCTACGTTAACCAGCTGCAGCTTCATATTTGCCCCGCAGAGCTCGAGATGTTTGAACTGATCGGGGAACTTATGGACCACAGCTGCTGATAAGTTTACGTTTTAATGTTTTCTTCTTCTTTTTTTTACTGTTTTCTGACTTTTTTGGAAACAACATTAACCTTAACACCTCTGTTACATATTCACACAATAACACACGTCTGGATAAGAACACAAGACTGAAAACAAATGCAAAGAAATAGCTGTTGAAAGAACCGATGCAAAGGATTTTGGGTAATGATCCCAGCTTTGTTTCTCGCATGTGGGATTTAATGTCACAGTAATATATTTACTCCGTACCGACGTATTATCTTTGCTTTGGGGACGTGGGGGCCGGTTGGAGCTTTGGGATGCTGTTTTTTGTCTTTACTGTATTTTTTCTGTATTTTCTACGAAACCATGACGATAATAACAAAACTTGGGTCTGGCTCATTTCAACCGTTATCGCGCACTGAGGAGCGCTGCTAAGCCCCGCCCACTGAACGAACGCCGCAGGTCACTGTGACGCCGTGAGAGGAGCCTCTTTGGAAGTGATTAAACGTTACTGAGAGCCAGAGGAACCTTCGGCCTCATTCAAAGGAGAATCAATTAGCTAACTAGCTAGCGGGTCGATGTAGCACAGCGAGTCCTCGGTTCTTTTCTCCGACCACTGGAGACTTTTTGGGGCCTTGCGTCCTCTCTCCTCTTTGTTGGGAGGACGTTGGTCCGAGCGAGTCGTCTTCACCGGCGTAGCAACAGTAACTAAGGAGGCCGAGGCTTTAGGGACCATCCGTCAGCTCCAGTTGGACGTTTACGCTTCATTGTTTTATTATTAGTGATATTTTTCATTAAATATTTGTGTGTGAATAAATCATAAATTGCACAAAAACGTTCCATAAATTTACCCATATTGGGTTTGCATCATGAATTACTGATCATTTAAAAATATATATATTAACCCATCTAACAATGAAATAATCACTTGCTATTTGTTAGCAGAGAATAAGAAGTGAACAATCTTCACTTAATGGGTCAAAGTGTTCTATACACATATATAATGTATATATGTGTATAGAACACATGATGTATTCTTTTAGTATAAATAAAACCTAATATCAGGAATATATTAAAAAGTCTCTGTAAGAAGATATCAAGAGATTTATTGATCAAACTTTTTTTTTTCCTTTCAAGATTTTTAACTTAAATCTTCCAAATTCTGGATGTTCTTGTATTTATTCTTTCTTTGTACCTTCGATGACCCTGATAGATCGACATAATCTTCACAATGCCACCGTTTACACTGTCAAATTATTTTCACTTAAATCCATCAAGTCGTTCCAGAAACCGATCTAATAAAGAGGTGATTAAATGAGGCGTGAGCGGAACAGATCTGGGCTGTTTGACCTGTTTTCTGTTGTTTAGCGATCACAACATATGAAATATTGTATTTTGATGTATGTATTCTTTCACCAGAATAAAATATAACTTTCATAGGAGATGATTTTCACTTTTGAACTGAAATAAACTGATTCACTGATTCACTTCCTCTCTTGCAAATGATTTTGTCACGTTGAGTTGCATCACGGGTCATTTGTCTGATGAGCAGAAAGGGTTTAATATCACGCAAATTACAAATTAGGCTTCTAACTCAGTGCTCATCATGCAACTTTTAAATGTAAAATAATATAATTCACTCATATCTACCGATGCAAATGTTTTAATATAATGTATATCATCACATCTTAATTTATAAAATGGCTTAATTTAACCGATGTTGTGTTTTTAATAACTCTTGTTACTGTCACCTGCAGCTTGTCATTGTCAATCATGAGTGACAGCTCATGATTTCACGCCCCTCTCAGTTGAAAAAGTCAATTACGACACTGCATTCAACTCTAAAACACAGATTTTTATTTTGAATGCATTGTTGTATTTTTCAATAAACCTCCAGGTGGACGTCTGGATATGGCTCCATGCGCAGGTACCGCCGCCGTGCAGCGTGGACGCGTCACGGCCACCGGGCGTCAGTCCGCGGCTCTCCGTCCGCACCTCCTCGCTGTGATCCGCGCTGACGTCACATCCGCTCTGAGCCCGCGTCACTCCGGCTGGATTTAGTTTGACTCAGAATCCTCACGTTGCATCTGGTTTCCGTTTGGTAACCCAACACTTATTTCAGAATAAAAGCATGAAAATAATACAAAGGCATATGTGATAAATGCCTTTTATTTCTGTTTTCTGTTAAACCAAACAATACATTACATGAAAGGAAATCACATTTAAATGACATCATATCGGGGAGGTTTGTATATTGTTTTTTTCAATACAGTTTTAATGTATTATGTGTAATTGTGAGCTCAGACACCATTTAAAACTTAAAAACCTAAAAAAGCTATGAAAGCTAATTCAGCGGTTTCATTGTGAAGAAAATTACCCGGAAAAAAAACCCTTTTTATATAGGGGGAATAGGGGAAAAAGACTGAAACATAATTCAGTAGGAATAAAAAAATAAATGGAGTTGATGAAATTATTGTGATCTATTTTGTGTTGTATTTTATGGTCAGTCAAACTAATTGAATAGTAATTGATTAAGGGGGGTGGCGCAGGGTGCCGGAAACCGCAAGGCTGTCGGTTTGAGTCCCGGCTGCTCCATGTCCCATGTCAAAGTGTCCCTGAGCAAGACACCGGACCCCTAACTGCTCCCCGGGCAACATGTAAAACAATGTGAGTCACTTTGGATAAAAGTGTCAGTGTGATGTGACGTAATGTGATGAACTTCCCTTTGACTGAAGTTCGAGGCCACGAGGAGGCAGCACAACACGGTTTTATTTTTACTTTGATTCTTTCCAGCAACAAAATCTAATATTTTATGAGCTTTCCATGTTTATTCAATGGATGTTAACGAATATTAACACCCAAGAAAAATAGTACAATGCATATATTATGTAATCATAATTTGACTAAAGTACAACGAAGTACAATATACAATACAATTATATCTTACTAGAGTAGAATAAAAGCAGTATAAAATGGAAATACTCCTGAGAAGTACCTGAAGTTGTTCTGCCTGTTTTCCTTAAAGAGCCAATGAAAAGGGAATTAATGAATGAATACGTACATTTTTTAAAAATTGAATAATAAGAAAAAAAGCTAATCATAAAATATTTAACATATACCTTTATAACCAGCGTGGGGCTATTTCGCATGGGTGACTTTGCATTTGATACTTTTAGTACCATTTGGTGTATTTTAATTCACATAGAGTCGCGATGAAGTCCTCGTAACGCCACACGAGACGCAGAGGCAGCGGCGGCGGGGGGCGGGGCTAAACCGCATCTGGATGAAAAACATCTGGCCTCCGTCTCCACTGATACCGGGGCCAGAGGACCGAGCAACGGAGCGACCGCCGCGGCTCTTCTCCCCGCAGATGATGGCTCGGTTCTGGAGGGTCTGCGCCGGGATCTTCGTCCTGCTAACGGCCGGTAAGAGGCGCTTCTTCCCCGGGCTTTTCTCCCTCTGATCCCCGGAGCTGTCCGTGTAGGAGAAGGAGGGGCGAGTTAGTATTAACGAGTACCAGGACAACCACAAAGTACTTCATTGGGATTATACGTGGAAAGGTACACACGTATTGTCGCCTACGTTAAAACATCCGCAGAAAAAATACACACGTATTGTTAGCTTTATGCAGTTGAAGTAACCGTGGTAAAAGTACACAAGTATTGTCATTTATGTGTAGACGGTGTGTTTAAGTTTGGTGGGAAAGTTCAGTTTTCTCCCGTAAAACGTACCAATACTCTAAATTGATTGTATTTTAAGTCCACAATTAGCTGACTAATCGATAAGTGATTACTAATGATAATGCAAACTGTCATCCATTCAGAATTTAAGTAAATGACAAAAATATAATGTCAGTAAAAAAAGCTCAAAGAAATTAAGAACTGTCTCCCCTTTATTTGCTAGTAGTTTTATCACAGTAAAGTGAATATATTGGTGTGTTCTGATGAAGTTTAGATACTGTTAAAGAAATGGAAGATGGTAATATGAAAACACAGACAAGCAGCCCTAGAGTATCCTCTGCTTTATGGTGTATTAGAGACCTGTCAATCAGCGTGTAGCCCCGCCCTAAAGTATCCTCTGCTTTATGGTGTATTAGAGACCTGTCAATCAGCGTGTAGCCCCGCCCTAAAGTATCCTCTGCTTTATGGTGTATTAGAGACCTGTCAATCAGCGTGTAGCCCCGCCCTAAAGTATCCTCTGCTTTATGGTGCATTAGAGACCTGTCAATCAGCGTGTAGCCCCGCCCTAAAGTATCCTCTGCTTTATGGTGTATTAGAGACCTGTCAATCAGCGTGTAGCCCCGCCCTAAAGTATCCTCTGCTTTATGGTGTATTAGAGACCTGTCAATCAGCGTGTAGCCCCGCCCTAAAGTATCCTCTGCTTTATGGTGTATTAGAGACCTGTCAATCAGCGTGTAGCCCCGCCCTAAAGTATCCTCTGCTTTATGGTGCATTAGAGACCTGTCAATCAGCATGTAGCCCCGCCCTAAAGCGTCCCCTGCTTTATGGTGCATTAGAGACCTGTCAATCAGCATGTAGCCCCGCCCTAAAGCGTCCCCTGCTTTATGGTCTGTGACACCAAATGAACCATCAGTCCCTAAATGAACATCATGTTGTGGTGAAGAAGACGTGAAACTAGAGACTGAGACATAAACTCATGGTTACAGATGTTTACTGAGGGAGTAGATCACTGCAGAGCAAGTGAGAGGCATTTCCTCATAGACGTCTATGGGAGCAGAGGAGTCGCCCCCTGCTGGTCACTACCGAGAAGTAGAGTCATTTCCTCATAGACGTCTATGGGAGCAGAGGAGTCGCCCCCTGCTGGTCACTACAGAGAAGTAGAGTCATTTCCTCATAGACGTCTATGGGAGCAGAGGAGTCGCCCCCTGCTGGTCACTACAGAGAAGTAGAGTCATTTCCTCATAGACGTCTATGGGAGCAGAGGAGTCGCCCCCTGCTGGTCACTACAGAGAAGTAGAGTCATTTCCTCATAGACGTCTATGGGAGCAGAGGAGTCGCCCCCTGCTGGTCACTGCAGAGAAGTAGAGTCATTTCCTCATAGACGTCTATGGGAGCAGAGGAGTCGCCCCCTGCTGGTCACTACAGAGAAGTAGAGTCATTTCCTCATAGACGTCTATGGGAGCAGAGGAGTCGCCCCCTGCTGGTCACTACAGAGAAGTAGAGTCATTTCCTCATAGACGTCTATGGGAGCAGAGGAGTCGCCCCCTGCTGGTCACTACAGAGAAGGAGAGTCATTTCCTCATAGACGTCTATGGGAGCAGAGGAGTCGCACACTGCTGGTCACTGCAGAACATGCAGACTTCTATCTCGTGAAGCTCTGACTTCTCTCGGTGTCATCTTGTGTGATTGGAATGAGGGACCTAAATGTGCAGAGACGAACTCAGGAACAACTTTAAGAGCAACTTATGATCTCTCATCTAACAAGTAGCGAGTGTGTGTTGGAAAACCTTATGAATAGACACACGCACACACACACACACACACACACACACACACACACACAGGCTGACTTCTTGGCGCTGTTTTGGCTCTGGAGAGGAGACCGACAGGCACTGAAAAAAACTGTGTTTTATTTGTACTAATGAGGACAGTGAGGTGACGTGGTGATGGTCTGATGACTCCTCACACACCAACACACACACACCTACTCACACACACCCACCCCGTAACACCAAGAGGTTATGTTATACATGTTCATTATTAATGTTATGTTATTTCATTTCTACTCATATGTATTATTTTATGTTTTTATTGGTATATATGTAGTATATACTGTTGTATTAGTATGAATATAGTATGACATGTTGTATATATATAGTATATTTTCATTGGTATATATGCCATATGTAATGATTATCTTTAGTATCTGTAGTATATGTTTTAATTAATATATACGTAGTAAATAATGTTTTTATTAGTATACATGTAGTATATCATGTTTTCATTGGTATATATGTCTTATACAATGTTTTATATTAATGTACATGTAGCATAATGTTCCTTAGTAGTTTATATAAATATGCTAAGCTAAGCTAACTGTAGTTTCATAAGAATCGCAGAGGAAGATTTTCCTAAATGTTGAACTGTCCCTTTAATCTCAGGCCGAGTGTGTGTTTGTTTGTGTGTGTGTGTGTGTGCGTGTGTGTGAGAGTGTGTGAGATAGGGAGTGGATTGCTGAGATATTTCTCATGAGTCTTTGAGGGCCGAGTGTTGGATGCTAACTTGGCTCTGAATACAGCTTCTGGCTTCCAATTTATTTCTGAGGGGCTCGCACACACACACACACACACACACACACACACACACACACACACCACAAACACACACCACAGAGACACACACACCACACACACACACACACACACCACACACACACACACACCACACACACTTTTTTCTTCTTTGTCTTCAACTCTGTTTTGGTAGAAACATCTGGAATAACTTCAGCTGAGTGTGTGTGTGTGTGTGTGTGTGTGCGTGACAGCGAGTTATGGTAATGAAGAGTTGTGTGTACAGTTCAGTTTATATATGTGTATATAGTGTATATAATTATGTAGCAGTGCGGTAGAATGTGTGTGTGTGTGTGTGTTGTTTTAACTGGCATTTCTGTGTCATCTGGGTCTGATCAATGCTGTTGTTATGATGTGGCAGAGCCTCACACACACTGTAGTTGTGTATCTACGCAACTACACACAGTGAAATCTGGTTTCATTGTGTTCAGTAGAAAATATTCTGTTTGCTGGATATATATATATGTATATATACATATATATATATATATATATATGTATATATACATATATATATATATATATATATATATGTATATATACATATATATATATATATACATATATATATATATATACATATATATATATATGTATATATACATATATATATGTATATATACATATATATATATATGTATATATACAGTAGTATATATTATAGTATATTATATATATATATAGTGAATATTCACTCGTACAAACAGACACACAAAAACACAATGGCCTTTCACTTGTGCCATGCATGTGTTTTGTGTATTTTTATAAATTACAGGCAGTTTTTCACATTGTATTAAATCGTATATATATATATATATATATATATATATATATTACAGGTCATTTAGCAGACGCTTTTATCCAAAGCGACTTACACTTTAAACACGTGGCTTTTTCACATTTTTGCCCGGGGAGCAATTAGGGGTGAGGTGTCTTGCTCAGGGACACTTTGACATGGAACATGGGGCATCCTGGACTCGAACCACCAACCTTGTGCTTCCCAGACGATCCCCCAATATATATATATATATATATATATATGTATATACAATATATGTATATATATATATATATATATATATATATATATATATATGTATATATATATGTATATATATATACATATATATATATGTATATATATATGTATATATATATTCTTGGGGGGACATCCTCGGGAGACTCTGACCCCTCTCATTGACCCTCAGGACCTCCGTCGTCTCAGACCTTCAGCCACCTGAGGTTCAACCTGTGCAGGTGGTGCGAGGCGACCGGCCCGCTGTGCAGAGACAGCGTCTGCTTCAGTAACTGCAGCCTGTCGTCCTTCTGCACCGCCACCGAGGAGATCTGCGTGGCCGTCTGGTGAGTGACATCATCACGCCCGGTACCATGTGACCATGTGGCCATGAGCCGACACTCACTCGTAATAAAAAGACGTTGTTATTTTACCCAGTCTGCATTTCTAAAGGCAGCTTCAGTCCAAAAGTCTCTTTGAGATGAAATGACTAAACATCTACGAACACACAATCGTTGTTTTCTTGGTAACATAATTCTGATTTGTTCAGCTATTTCCCTGTTTCTGTCCTTCATGCTGTGTGTATCCGTGACATCTGAGCCGAGTGAGTATTAATTAATAATATTAATTATTAATCGAAGCTCACTAAAGTTCAAAAGCTAAAAAACGTCCAGCACGATTTTCACCATATTTATAATTTAATGATGTTTTCTTTGTAGTTCTGTTAAATAAAAGATTCCAAAAGTAAATGTGCAGAAGTGTTTTAAGTGGTCATGAATTATAGATGTAAGGTCAAAGGTCACTGGCCTCAGAGCAGCTGTTATGAAGTCAAAAGAAAAGTCTTTCAAACGTGATCGTGTGTGAGAGACGTTGGCTGGAAGCTTTCTGCTAACTCATGGGTTTGTTTGTATAACCCCCCCCCCCCCCCGCGCTGCGCCCCTCATTTCCTGTCGGACCCTCCCAGATAGCTGCAGGAAGCCGGAGATAAGAGAAGAAGAAGAAAGCGCTGCTGTATTTAGGTCAAAGAGGACGAGGAGACTCAGGATTGTATGCGTGATGCTGGTTGTGTGTAGAAACGCTGCAATAATAATGTTAAAGATTCATAGTAAATAAACAAAGTGAACTGATCCGTAAAAACAACTTACTTCTCTGTTAAGAAAAGACTTGAATCTCCCCAATTACACACAAGTTGTACTTTTGAGTTTTACCACAGTGCTCTCGGTCAATTCAATTTACAAATAAACCTTCCTGACATTTAAAAATAAGAGACCAGTATAGAAACCCTTCTTTTCATCAGCAGTAAACGCCTGCAGGTGGTGGAGAATTCTCCTGCATTAAAATCATGGTCTTCTTCTCCTGTTTTCCCGTTGCACTGCTTCAAGAAAGTGTCTTCTACAAACTGGCAGGTTTGGGAAACGATTTTTAGTCCAACTAGCTCATCTTTAATAATAGCAGAAGGCCTCCTCCATCTTGCTGGCAGCTGGGTGGAGGTGGAGCTCTGTGCCAGGTACTGATCCAGCAACAAGAAGGTCATTGGCCTCTTTTTTCTCCACACGTCACTTGTGACCCTTTTGACTATTTGCCACAAAACGTTTGATTGTTCTGTGATCACGCCGACATCTTCAACAGTGCCGCGTTCCTCTGAAATAGAGTCAGATCTCTTTTTTGGCCCATTTTGCTGCCTGATAATTATGCACATTGATCTCCTTCGGCCGCACAGATCACTCGATGTGCTTGTATCCAATTATCACTCAAGAAGCCTTCGTTTGTCCCCCAGGAGAAAGAACAACGACACCATGACGGTGCACACCATGTGTCACAACCCCACCCTGCCACTCGAGGGCGTCGACCCGGAGCTGCTGCTGAACTTCACCACCGCCGAGTGTCACATGGTCCCACAGCCGGCGGAGGATGGAGACCTGATGGTGTGCGGCTGTGACGGAGAGCAGGAGTGCAATGACAAGCTCATCTTCGACAAGGGAGCCAATGGTGAACACATGAATACATTGGCGGGTGGGGGGATAAATGAGCAGGTGGAGGGATGAGTAGATGGGTGGAGTGAAGGATGAACGTGTGAGTGATGGATCGGTTGATGACACAGCCGTTTTAGTGGATAATGTTTTGTATGGACCGATGAGTAGATGTTGGTTTCATCTCTGCTCCTGCAGGGTTCTCCAAGGTGCACAGTAAGGACGTAATTCCGGTGGTGGTGGTCAGCCTGGTGCCGCCCGTCCTGGTTGCCATAGTTGCCGCGGTAGCTTTCTACTTCTACCGCATACGACGTCCCGACAAACCCGGCCCTCCTGCACGCCCCCCCTGGTCCACCAATCACACCACGGAGCTCTACCAGGCTTTCGACCTGCCGCACGGGGGTCTGGGGGATAGGGGAGAAGGTTTGAGGGGTCCCGGAGCAGAGGGGGCGGAGTCTAATGGCAAAGTGCTGTCTCTCAACAACGGGATCATGGGTCACATGACAGATCGTCAGGGCCAGTTGAATGACCCCTTGCCAATCAAGCTGGAGGTCCTGGTGGGGAAGGGGCGCTTTGCTGAAGTGTGGAGGGCGCGCCTGGTGCAGGGCGAAAAGGCGGGAGTGAACACCTACGAAACAGTGGCGGTGAAGGTGTTTCCGAGCGTGGAGTACGTTTCGTGGAGAAACGAGTGCTCCATCATCTCTGACCCCAAACTGGAGCACGAGAACGTGGTTCGGTTCCTCGCTGCCGATCACAGGAGCCTTCCCGGCCACGCCCTCGGGAAGTACTGGCTAGTCCTCGCCTACCACGGCCTCGGGAACCTGCAGGACTTCCTCACGGTCAACATACTGGGCTGGGAGGAGATGGTTGCTATGGCTGCCAGCATTGCCAGAGGGTTAGCTCATCTACATAGCGACACAACACCCAGTGGGATACCAAAGGTGAGTCGGTCTACAATCTCTAAAAGGTTCTTCTGACCCTCATCATATCTCCCTATTTCAGCACGTCTTACCTTCCACACAATATCTTCATGTGAAGTAAACTAAGAGCACATAGATCTGACTACTTACTCCAGCCTCCTCTGAAACCCTGAGTTTTTGGCATTTTGGTCCCCGCATCTTGAAACTGTTTTGCAACCACTCCAACAATCCCCCCCTGGGAGCTTTCAGATTAACCGTTACAAATCACCAGATGGATTCAGTTTCTTGCTCATCTCTTGGTGTTGCCGTAGGTGCCGATAGCCCACCGGGACCTAAAGAGTAGTAACATTGTGGTGAAAAATAGGAGGGAATGCGCCCTGTGTGACTTCGGTCTGGCGCTACGACTGGACCTTTCCCTCACCGTGGACGACTACGCCAACAGCGGACAGGTAAACTGAGGAGTGGTTGAATTTACCGATCGAACACTTTGGACATCTCCTCTATGTTGTCCAGGTGGGGACGGCTCGCTACATGGCCCCTGAGGTTCTGGAATCCAGAGTGAACCTGGAGGACCTCGAGTCCTTCAAGCAAATGGATGTTTACTCCATGGCTCTGGTGCACTGGGAGATGGCCTCCCGCTGCCTCGCCATCGGAGGTACGAGACGGAGACGGTTCTTTGTGGTTCGGCTTGAGGTCTGGAGAATAGTTGTTTCTTTTGTGGGTCTGTTGTCCAACGTTGTGTGAGCCATTCATGGTCTACGCATGATGGATCTTGATGCCATCTGTGGTGCCACCAGCCAGTCAGAGATTCCCTCAATCTGATGACTATTATCCACCAACAGTTTCATATTGTTGTGTTGCCTTGATGTTATGAACAGAAATTCATGGTCCCCTCAGGTTGAATGACAATAACTTTGGTCAATTAATTTGCTGGTGGAATACAGGTAGTGTACAGTGTACCTGTATACTACGCTTGAATGTTGAAACACATCCGTTCCTGCAGCCATTTGAAAGCCTTAACGTAGGACTTTCTGTGAGTCAGAGGTGAAGGGCTACGAGCCGGCGTTTGGCTCTCGGGTCTGCGAGCAGCCCTGCGTGGACAGCATGAGGGACTTGGTGCTGAGGGACCGAGGACGGCCCGACATCCCGTCAGCGTGGACGCAGCACCGGGTCAGGACTTTCACCTGCACCACACGTCTTTCTGAGATGTTCGGCTGTCTGACCTGCAGTCTTCTGTCCCCCAGGGGATGGACGTCTTCTGCTCCACCGTCACAGAGTGCTGGGATCACGACCCCGAAGCCCGGCTGACGGCTCACTGCGTGGTGGAGCGTTTCAACGTGCTGCAGGCGGAGGAGGAGCAGGCGGAGGAGGAGGAGGAGGAGCAGGAGCCGAGGCGAGGCACTGATAGAGAAGAGGGAGGAGACAGAGTAAAGGACTCAGAGACGCCAGACGGTAACCAGAGTCCTTCCATCTCCTCTGCTGCTTCCTCCCTTCAGCCTCTCCACATGGCCCAGCAGGACTCAAAGACAAGTGGCTCCGAGGTATCCCACGATTCACTCCTTCACACCAGCTCTACCATGTGAGCGCCACTGTGGTCCCGCGCTACGAGCCCTCCGGCCTCCTGCCGCGTTTACACGCTTATCTTGTTTTAACAACAAATGTTAGTGACTTTAGCAGCTGATAGCGAAGAGACTGACACTCACAATGTAATGTACAGCAGGAAGGCTAATGCTAACAGCTTACCAACAGGTCACGGGAACGGGAAGGCTAATGCTAACAGGTTACCAACACATGATTGGAACGGGAAGGCTAATGCTAACAGATTATCAACTAGTGATGAAAGAGAAAGGCTAAATCTGACAGTTTACATAATAGCCAACAGGTGATGATCAAGAAAGCTAATGCTAACAGCTAGTCAACAGATGACAGGAAAAGGGAGGCTAATGCTAACAGCTAGTCAACAGGTGATAGGAACAGGAAGACATGGAAGTCTTTTAGGAACACTGATGCTGATGGATAGTCAACAGGTGATAGGAACAGAAAAGCTAATGCTACAGCTAGTCCACAGATAATACAGACAGGAAGGCTAATGCTACAGCTAGTCCACAGATAATACAGACAGGAAGGCTAATGCTACAGCTCGTCCACAGATGATACAGACAGGAAGGCTAATGCTACAGCTCGTCCACAGATGATACAGACAGGAAGGCTAATGCTACAGCTAGTCCACAGATAATACAGACAGGAAGGCTAATGCTACAGCTCGTCCACAGATGATACAGACAGGAAGGCTAATGCTACAGCTCGTCCACAGATAATACAGACAGGAAGGCTAATGCTACAGCTCGTCCACAGATGATACAGACAGGAAGGCTAATGCTACAGCTCGTCCACAGATGATACAGACAGGAAGGCTAATGCTACAGCTCGTCCACAGATGATACAGACAGGAAGGCTAATGCTACAGCTCGTCCACAGATGATACAGACAGGAAGGCTAATGCTACAGCTCGTCCACAGATAATCCGCTTCCGCTTTTGCTTCAGAGAGGTATCTGGAGCTGCATCCGCCAAGAGATCCGCCCTCCTCTGACTCTGATTGGTTTGTTTCAGGTTCACGACGAATCAAACCAACGATGGCAGCGAGTTTTATCAGAGGCAGAATAGGAGAATAGTCTTCCCAGAAGTCGGGTAGGATTCATTCGCATGGGATGCTGCATTGAAGACATCTCGGAAAATACGGGACAAATCTCGTCCCTATTTTGTTCTCAAATACGAGACGATTCCGTATTTTAAGGGATGGGAGGCAACAATCGGTAATAACAACAAGAATGCTAATGCTAACAGCTAGTCAACAGATAATAAGAACAGGAATGCTAATGCTAACAGCTAGTCAACAGGTGATAAAACAGGAAACCCGTCGACCATTGCGTCACTCACAAGATGTCACTCCAAGTTTTCTTGAAGACTTGAGACGTGCTAATGCTAACGGCTAGTTAACAGGTTAAAGGAACAGGGAGGCTCATGCTAACAGCTAGTCTACAGCTGATTGTACCAGGGAGGCAAATGCTAACTGATAGTTCTGCTGGCAGAGATACAAGCATTTATGTATTTTAAGTGTTGTAACGTTAAATGTTTTGGGAGCTGGCCTCTGTTGTGTTGTTGTTTTAGTGGGATTATAATCTATAATCTACTCGTATGAAAAAACTGGACATAAAGTTATTTAAAGAACTAAACCTGTTATGGAAATTCAACAATTTCGAAATTTACAATTAATATGACAAGATAACACTAAAGGAATCCCAATGATGATAAATACATTTTTGTTTTGAAACACAAATACCGAAAACCACTTAAGCATCTCCACATTTGTTTTGTAATAAAGTATTTTGTGTCATTGAGCAGTGATCGTCTCAGTGCTTCATTATTATTATTTATACTTCATTTGTACATCAGGTCCTGACATTTGATGTCAAAGCATCAAATGTATTTTACGGGTAATATTCAGTCAAATGTATTAAAAGTACTAAAACGACAGTGTAGAAATACTTTGAAACAAGTACAAGTCCTGTGTTTACGATCATATTTTAAGTAAACCATAATATTATCATGAAAATGAACTTATACAACATGCTGAATGTAAAAGTACTCATTATGCCAAATAATATTCTTTTTTAATCATTAGTATTTGTGTTAATGTGATAAAAGTTTAGCTCATTTTATTAACTTTATTTACTGCTGGGTAGATGAATTAAATATCTTATTTCATTATATTTAAACCCGACACCCCGACCTCTGACCTCTCCGCTCTGCATGTGATAAACTGCTTGTTCCTCCTCACTGAGAGCAAAACACTCGACTAGATCTCCACTCTTTGCTGTCCTGCTCCTAAATGGTGGAAGGAGGTCTGTGAAGACATCAGGACCACAGAGAGCCTTCACATCTTCAGACAATCAAGAGAATCTGGCTAGCTGTGTCCAGGCTTTATGCTAAGCTAAGCTAACCATCTCCTACTTCCTGGTTAATGCCTTCTGCTCAAAAAAAGATGTGCCAATAATTCTTTTAATTTATGAAAAACCAGAGCGGCAAACATGTGCCGCGGCTCACAAAGTGGTTGTCTGGTCACACTGAACCTGTGTGCATCTCCGAACCGCCACTAACTCGATTAGCGAAGTGTGACATCAAAGGATGAAGCCAATCAGTCTGCTCCGCTTCCACAGATAATCGCATCAACCCGTCGCTCCGTGACGTCACCGTGGGAACCGGAAGTGGAGGACGCATTGAGCTAACGTTAGTTACTGTAGTAAAGGCCCTGGTAATGTGAAAAGTACTGCATCCAGAGGCTGACTGCAGTTACATCAAGTAAAACAGTGTATTATTACATCTGAAAATCCTGGATTAAAAAGTACTGCAGCACAAATGTAGAGAAGTAGAAAGTACTTACAAGTAAAATACAAGAACCTCAAATGTGGAGTTCTAACTCAGTTACATTGTACCATATTTAGCCTATATATATATATATATATATATATACGATATATATATATACGATATTCATATATATATATATATATATATATATATATATATTAGTTTTGAATGATTTAGAATGATTTTTATAGCAGTCAATAGCCAATTACATTTACTCGCATTTGCACAACTTAAATACACTCATCACTCTGATAACAAAAACGTTTCTTATCCCTATAATAATTGTATTTGATTATATTTCATCGAATATTTAAAAACCCTAAACTGTTCAAATGTACACGGTTTTTGATCTTAATGTAACAGAGCGTCCTGGGTTCGTGGATGATGCACTGATAAACGGAGTCGCAGTAGACGCGTCGTTCACCTTGAAGGGACAAACCATCTCAAATGCAAAACACTAAACACGAGACAGTCTGTCACATTAAATACATTCCTACTGTGTACAGCCGAATCACCGCCAACGGGAAGTCGTTTGGTAGCAGAAACACTCTGGTTGTCATTAGACGATCTTTGCAGTTCGGCCGTTCGCCGCTCCGCGGAGTGACTCATCTTGTTAAGAAAGGATCTTCGAAGCACCGGTCATCTCCACTCAAGTGACACCGAGCAACAAACCGGCTGTCCGGCGTGACGTTACATTCCTCCGTATAACCGGCCAGTGTTTTCCTCGCGTGTCCTCAGATTTAACTGCTGGATACGTTTATTTTGCGGAATCGCCAACATGTTCTGATTCATCCTGCGAGCGATGAACGAAAGGAGCCCCGAGGGGACCAGACCTGCGGAGGTTCTGTTGATAGCGGCTCGCCGTGTTTGGCTCTCGGGGCCGGTCGGAGGATGGAGCCGAGGCCCTCCGTGTGCCAGTTTCTCGGCCCTGTCCTTGTCCTCTCCGTCCTGTTGGTGCTAGTGAGCTGCCACGGGACGTGTAGACACCGAGTCCCGTCTCCCGACGAGGTGAGCCTCGGTTTTGATGCTGCGCTGATTAGCCCTTAAGCTAACCTAAAACCTGGCTAGCTTAGCTCAGCAGCAGCACTGTGGCAGCGGACGGGTTGAGCTAGCTGGCATGCTAACTGTTGGCTCTTGTGGCTAAGTAACGTAACTGTAGTTTTACAATGTGTGACATATTTACTGTCGTGTGTGGGTATTTATTGAAATGTATTGTTTGACATCCAATAGGCGTCTTATGGTGACACCTTTGTGTTCGTGTGCAACATTTAAAGCTAGCTAGCCGCCCAAATGAGATTAGCTGTAGAGTTACCAACATGTTTCCCCAGTAACAACAACTACACAACACTTCCGTCTGGGTCTCTTCAAAGTAAAAGGGCCCTATTCGTAAAGTATGTATGTGTGTCAAAGTGAGTGATCTAAACATCAGGAAATCCCACAAATAAATCCCAAATATAAAAAAATCCACTTTCGACGCTTGAATTCTCTCCTTATGAACTTCTAGGTGGTCCACCATGTGCACCTGAGGCCTGAGCGGCTGATGAAGAGGAGCCCCACCGACGCCCTTCAGCTGAAGATAAAGATCATCTACGACCACAGCGTTGACCGGTCAGTACCGCGGGACGCTTCAACGTGTCCGCCTGTCTCTGTGTCTCAGGGGTTTAGTCTGCCTCGATGTCTCTGAGGTCTGGTGTCTCCACAGGCTCCCTGCGGACCGGAGGAGGCTCGTGAAGGTGAGCAGGTCTGCAGCACTTTGGTTCTGAGCTTTCTGGATTCCGCAGACTACAGTTCGGGCGACACCGCGTGCTTGGTGACGGTGACGCGTCTACACCGGAATATAAAGTATCTGGGGAGCTTTTACAGCTTTCTCACAGACGCCATCGTTAGGGGAGACGTGCCATTTTAATGATATGCTAATGAGGTATTATCTAATGATAACTCTGTAGACAAACGGAGAAATAGACTATGATCCCTTCATTTTTCCTGTTTAAAAGAATTCTATATTTATTGTACTTCTAAATTAAATTCCACAAAAAAAATTGGTTTTGAGCGCCACCTCGTTTGTGCGTCCAGACAACAGTGATGTCGTGTGTGTTTCCTCAGGATGAGCTCTTCCCTCAGGCCATCGACTTCCTGCAGAGGGCCTTCAGGGTGAGGCGGCGGGTCGGTCCGGTGCTGCTCAGCAGGTCTGTGAACCCGTCCACATGTTTGTCCTCTGAGCCACAGCTGGACTCACTCAGCATCCAGATGTGTGGAGGCAGCCTTCCTCTTCAGGGAAAAATATATATATACCCTAAAATATGTTTATATACGTTCAAAAACGTGTATTTCCATTAGAATGTGGATATGTGTGTATTGGTTGTGTTGTTGTTTACCTCAGTCACACACGCTTCATTGACATCATGGTCTCTGGCAGACAATGTGCCACCAACCAGTACCTGAGGAAGAGGGACGACCCCCACCGCTACTGCCAGGACGCCTGTGCTGAGGTGACGCGGTGCGGCCCGGTCGTTGTGCCACAGCACCACCTGCAGGTCAGGAAGGGCCACTCCGTCCCTCCGTCACCAGGACAACCGAGTAACGCTTCCGTCTGGGTGCCTTCAAAATACAAGCGGCGTTTTTGTGAAGCTAGAGGACTTAAAAACCAGCTGGAAGCTACAATTTAGAACCAACAAAACCACTGCTGCTTTCATCTGTTTATTTTGTCCCACATGTTTTATTAAACCTAGTGATTGCAAACAAACGTATCCATGTATTAGATTGTTGATTTGAAACCTATTCTTTGTGAAGACAAGAATACCATAAAGTGTATTTTAATAGACCACATGCAGGTCAGGAAGGACCAGCCGGATGTTCAGGTGATGAAAAACAAACCAAATCAAACTGCTGCTTTAAAAAATAAAAACAGGTTGACATTAACAGTGAAGCATAATAATTGGACTAAATATTCATAGTTACACATTGCACATTTTCTGTATTATTTGGCTTTATTTGTACATATTTCTTTCTTTCAAATCTTAATTGCTTCACATTCTTAGAAGCTCTCTGCTGTTCAGCCGAGCTCTGCCTGCACGCCACGATACATCACAGCCATCCTACTGCATCACGACCTGGGCACACGCCTCACTAACAACTGCAACCAGACACTAAACACGATGAATGAGTGAACGCACAACGTCTTCTGGAAAATCAGTCTTCTGTTCAAGGAGCAAAACTGTCTATTGACACGACTGACAATGCAACCCAATGTTGGTGTTTCTAATAGAGGCATTATTAAGTAACCCTGGTTAAAAGAGAAGCCCCGTTGTTCTCAACACTCCTGCAGGTGCAATTGTACCGAGTCTACATTCGTTTTTTCCCTTTAAAAAAAGCCTCCTGTGGACACGTGTTGTAAATTAGTGGTTCGCTACAAACTAAACAAACAGAAAAATGTAACTTTGCCGTTTCTTGTTTGTATCCTTATGTTATAAATTCTCTTGCCCCCCCTCTAGCAATGCAAGGTGTGCAGTGCCTCGGGGAAGTCCTGCGGCCCCTTGGGGCCCCCGGATGGCCCGGGGGTCCAAGGGGCCGACTTCGTGCTTTACGTCAGCGGCGTTCCGACGGAGCGCTGCGGGCAAGAGAACATCGTGGCCTACGCCGCCTACTGCCAGCTGGAGGCGGAGCTAGACAGGTGGGTTTTTTAATCATTGACCAAAGGTGGCCATCGCCTTGGTAACGATGACATCATCACTGTTTATGCAGCTACGGGTTGTCATTTTTAGATGTTAGAGACAGGAAGTGATCATGTGAGTAAATATCAGCAGAAGGATCGATTCCACCGTTGTCCCTTTAATACTAATGACACATAATACTGGTAATATGCAAACAGCGTTTGATCTGTAGCTTAGCATCGTCCCCTGGACATGTCCCGTGACCTCCACCTGTGTCCCTCAGGCCAATCGCCGGCTACGCCAACCTGTGCCCCGCCATGATCTCCTCCCAGCCGCAGGAGTTTGAAGGGATGCTCTCCACCGTGAAGCACGAGGTCATCCACGCACTGGTGAGTGACGCTAGCTGCTGCTGCTCCAGACACTGGATGGTCTCTGAAGTCGGACCTGCGCTCCGTTTTCCTCCTCAGGGATTCTCCGCCGGTCTGTTCGCCTTCTACCACGACGACGAGGGAAACCCTCTGACTCCTCGCTTCACCAGCGGCCTGCCGGCCTTCAACGAGAGGTGACTGGCTCTCCTCCTCCTCCTCCTCATCTGTGTGTCTGTGACCGGTCCTCCTCCTCCTCATCTGTGTGTCTGTGACCGGTCCTCCTCCTCCTCCTCCTCCTCATCAGGGGGTCTGCGACCCCCTCCTCCTCCTCCTCATCTGTGTGTCTGTGACCTGCTCCCCTCCTTCTCCATCTGTGTGGGTGTCGACAGGACCACATCACCTCCTCCTCCTCCTCATCTGTGTGTCTGTGACCGGTCCTCCTCCTCCTCCTCATCTGTGTGTCTGTGACCGGTCCTCCTCCTCATCCGTGTGTCTGTGACCGGTCCTCCTCCTCTTCATCCATATCTGTGACAGGTCCTCCTCCTCATCCGTGTGTCTGTGACCGGTCCTCCTCCTCTTCATCTGACTGACTCTCCACTTTTTCATTGGAGAGTCAGAGTCAAGTTTTCCATCCTTTCTTTTTATTGTTTAATAGTAGTACAAGTATTGTCTTCATGTTTCTGTGTGTGTGTGTGTGTGTGTGTGTGTGTGTGTGTGTGTGTGTGTGTGTGTGTGTGTGTGTGTGTGTGTCAGTCTGGGTCTGTACCAGTGGAGCGAGGCGGTGATCCGGACTGTCAGCCGGCTGTGGGACATCAGAGGAGGAGTGATGGTCCGACACCAAGTCCACGTCCTCGTCACTCCCCGAGTGGTGGTGAGTACACTGTGTGTGACGGGCGGCGTCCGTCAGTAGGCGGGATCGCTGTAGTTCTGGGTTGTTGTTACGTCTCCTCACGCTTTTGTTAGCGGCTGTACGGCGTTTAGCTGCGTATCACAGACTACAACACTGAGCTCTTCACCTCGCAGCTAAAACGCGTTGCTCACCTCCACCTGAGCTTCATGAGTTAAAGCTGCATTCTGTGACCAGCAGGGGCGACTCCTCTGCTCCCATAGACGTCTATGAGGAAATGACTCTACTTCTCTGTAGTGACCAGCAGGGGGCGACTCCTCTGCTCCCATAGACGTCCATGAGGAAATGACTCTACTTCTCTGTAGTGACCAGCAGGGGGCGACTCCTCTGCTCCCATAGACGTCTATGAGGAAATGACTCTACTTCTCTGTAGTGACCAGCAGGGGGCGACTCCTCTGCTCCCATAGACGTCTATGAGGAAATGACTTGATTTATTCCCACAGTGAACATTTAAAAAACATGAGTTTATGGTCTCAGTCTCTAGTTTCAGGTCTTCTTCAGTACAGATGATGTTCATTTGCGGGGCTACTGTGAATGTTTCCTTTAACACACAATGTGAGGACCCATTTGCTCCTCCTCTCCTCCAGGAGGAGGCCAGGAGACATTTCAGCTGTCCCATCCTGGAGGGCATGGAGCTGGAGAACCAGGGCGGGATGGGGACCGAGCTCAACCACTGGGAGAAGAGGCTGCTGGAGGTAAACCCTCTCTGACTCCTCCTCCCCCTCCACTCTGACTCCTCCTCCCCCTCCTCTCTGAACGTCTCCGCCTCCTCTCTGACTCCTCCTCCCCCTTCTCTCTGACTCCTCCTCCCCCCCCACTCTGACTCCCCCCCCCCCCTCCACTCTGAACGTCTCCGCCTCCTCTCTGACTCCTCCTCCCTGAACGTCTCCCCCTTCTAGAACGAGGCCATGACGGGCTCCCACACTCAGAACCGGGTGTTCTCCAGGCTGACCCTGGCCCTGATGGAGGACAGCGGCTGGTACTGGGCGGACTACGCCCTGGCTGAGAGGCTGGAGTGGGGCCGAGGCCTCGGCTGTGACTTCGTCATGAAGAGCTGCAAGTTCTGGATGGAGCGGCAGAGACAGAGGTGATCAATGATCTGATCAATGTGCTGATCAGTGAGACATTGATACACTTGTGCAACCTGAAGGAGATTGTTCTGACGTGCGTGTGCGTGTGCAGGCGCCACGCGGTGACTCCGTACTGTGACACAGTGCGAGCGTCTCCTCTGCAGCTCACCTGCAGACAGGACCAGCTGGCTGTGGCCGTCTGCAACCTGCAGAAGTACCAACAGGAGCTGCCACACGAGTACCAGGTACACACTTACTACACACACTACACACGTGCTGCAGTCAGACATGCCTGACGTGTCCCCCGTGTCCTCTCAGTACTTTGATAGGATCCCTGACGTGCCCCCGGACCAGGTGGCCATGTTCGGGGGGGCCGTGGAGATCGCTGACTTCTGTCCCTTCAGTCAGGAGTTCAGCTGGCACCTGAGTGGAGAATACCAGAGGAACTCGTACTGCAGGGTGCCTGAGAACCAGCCAGGTGACCCCTTCTTACCTGTGTGTGTGTGTGTGTGTGTGAGAAACACGCGTGTGACGTGTGTGTGTGTGTGTGTTCAGACTGGAGGAGGAACTACGGGGCGGAGCAGTACGGACCCGACTCGGTGTGCGTGTACCAGAAGTCGGCCTTCACCATGGAGCAGTGCACCAGGAGGATGACGTACCCTGACTGGGGCTCCGGCTGCTACCAGGTGTGTCGATAAAGCTTTTTCAACCCCTCTGCTATCGCAGCGGCTCAGACGGTAAGATGTCCGTACGCATGAATCTCTCCCACGGTCGTACCAGTATTACGCCGTTATTAGCGCCCGCAGCTACGAGCCCAACAGAGGAGCCGGTCTGTTTGGAGGGTTTGTGGTTTTGGAAAACCCGACGTTAGTTCCGTTAGATCAGAAAACCATTAATCTTCTGTCGAGCATCTGGTGGCAACACTAGCAGCTAACGAGCTAACGAGCTAACAAGCTAACTCGCCAGCCAGTTGCGAGCTAGCTGGCCAGCTGTGTAATGTGTAAATGCTGTTTGGATCAAGCTTCCATTCACTGTGGTTGTCGATAAAGATTTAACTCTATAACTGATGAGTTGTCTGTGTGCTTGTGGATAAAGTTTCTGTGGCCCCCCAGGTGCGCTGCTCGTCCCGGGGCCTGGAGGTGCTGGTCCAGGATCAGTCGTTCCTGTGCGCGCGGAGCGGTCAGCAGCTGAGCGTCAGCGTGCGAGTCAACGACTGGGTCTACAACGGCGTCCTCGTCTGCCCCCCCTGCTCCCACTTCTGTGACGACTGCCCCCTCCCCCACCAGCTCCCGCCCACCAACGCCTCCAGGAGCCACCCCATTGGTCGGTGCTGAGTGACTTCTTTTTTATCAATACAGAGGACAAAATGCCATATTTGTTAAATATAATATGAATATATATATGGGTAGTAAAGCTAAATACTAGTATTTGTACTATTGTCTTTTTCTTAGGAGTAAAAATAATGATTATATAAAATAAAAGTAGATTTTTCCATAAGTATTATTTTATTAGTGGCATTAGAACGCTATTAGAAAGGGGAATAATCACATGACATTCCGTTGCAGACCCCTGCTCCAGCTCTCAGGGTCCGGTCTTCACTCTCTGGCTCCTGGTGCTCCACCTGCTCCCCCTGCTGGCCGGCCTGCTGCTCTGCAGCTGATGAACCACACGAGGGCCCCCCGGCCCCCCACTGACTGAGGTTGTTTGAGGCTCTCTGGCAGACGTTTTGAGCCCCTTATGAACACTTTCCATATGACTCAGCCCAAGGGGACTACCCACAAGTCATTGCAACAAGAGGGTAAAACGGATAACGGGTGGAGATGGTGATGATGTTACGGTCCTCAGGCACTTCGCCTCTCGGCAGCTTCCACCTGAGGATGAACCTCAGACTAACAACTCAAACGCTGCCCTAATTTTCAGGTTTGTTTGTTTGGGTTAAACTCTTCTTCTGTGGTTCTTCATTGTAGCGTGTTACTTCCTGTTGAGCAGCTGTGTGGTATTTTTATTATTATATTTATATGAGAAGCCGACAAACCCGTTGCACTGGTTTAGTTTTTATTTATTGAAGAGAAAGTTTCTCATCATGTGACTTGCGTGTCAACAGGAAATAAACAAACTGCTTAATGTTTACAGGTGGAAATTATTTTAGAAAAAGGGCTGCTTTTTGAAAACCCACCTTGAGACAATTGTTTTTCAGAATAAAAGCCTTCGGTCTCTGAGACGTCCGTGTCTTTTGTCTGAGAACGTTTCATATTTCAGTTATTGAGATAGACGTTGTGTCCTCTCTATGACAGGAAATGATGTCACTCACGGAAGCCCCGCCTCCTCTCCATGGGCCCACACGCCGAGATGTAACAACATATTTAATGATCAAAGCGTATCAACATATGTCCATATTGTTATAGAACTGTTCCTTTAAGAAAACACCCAAAATATTTATTTAACACACAGAATTTAGTTTAATTATTAGATCCTGATGGAGGAGTTTGGTTTTATTTTGGAGCCTTTTATGGATTGTAATAGAAAAGAAAGCTAATACAACATGAAAATGGTTGAAGTTGTTTCACTTGTAAAGTCCTTCAAATAAAATCATATTCAACATGTCACATGTTTGATATGACTGAATCGGTTGTAATGGAACAGCAATGGAGGGAGAATTACTCAGAACACTGAAATATCTTTTCACAGGTACCCGTCCACTGTGGTACTAATGCCACAACGGGAAAATAAAAACAGTAACAGTTTATCTGAGCTCCTTTACCTTAAAAGTAGTACAGTAGAATCAGCAGATGTCTAAGTGTCTCCAGATGTGTCCAGCTGTCAGTCCGTCCCCCTGATCCACAGGAAGCCCACCTGGGTGCCGAAGTTTAGTCCGTCCCTGACGTGTGAGAAGAAGTCTTCAGGGTGGCAGGAGGTGCAGCGTTGCATCTCCTTGTGGTCATGGATGTGTCCAGAGAGGACGCCTCCTCTCTGCAGAAGGACTCTGTCACAGGAGACACAGTAGAATCAGACTTTACTGTCCAACGTGAAGCAGCAGGACTAGTATACGTGTCTGCTGTCCTCTATGTATTATACTGATCTATTATGTCCCCTATCGGCAACGGATGACACCACCCTCATTGGACTGATCTCTGGTGGGGACGAGTCCGCCTACAGGTGGAGTCTGACCATCTGGTGTCGTGGTGCAGTCAGAACAACCTGGAGCTCAACGCTCTAAAGACAGTGGAGATGGTTGTGGATTTCCAGAGGAATGGAGCCCCACCCTCCCCCATCACCCTGTGTGACTCCCCCGTCACTATTGTGGATTCCTTCCGTTTCCTGGGCTCCATCATCACCCAGGACCTCAAGTGGGGGCTGAACAACAGCTCCATCACCAAGAAGGCTCAGCAGAGGTTGTTCTTCCTGAGGCAGCTGAGGAAATTCAACCTGCCAAAGACGATGATGGTCCACTTCTACACGGCCATCATGGAGTCCATCCTCTGCTCCTCCATCAGCGTCTGGTACGCTGCAGCCACAGCCAAGGACAAGGGCAGGCTGCAGTGTGTCCTCCGCTCTGCAGAGAGGCTGATCGGCTGCAATCTGCCGTCCCTGCAGGACTTGTTCGCTTCCAGGTCTCTGAAGCAGCTAAAAAGATGGTAGCCGACCCCTCTCACCCCGGACAAAACCTGTTTGTGCCCCTTCCATCTGGCAGGAGGCTGAGGTCCATCAGGACTAAGACCTCATCAAGAGAGCCGGACCCCCACTGACTGACTCACAAACACATTCGGACACTTTCAATAGTATTTCTATCTGTTGGCTGGTTCCCTTTATCTTTTTTATCTGTATTTTATATCTTATTTTATACCTATTGTTGATTTAATCGTATTATTCTCCTTTGTTCCATATTCACCACCCACCATGACAACGTCCTTGAATGTTCAACATACTTGGCACATGAATGTTTCTGATTGTGATTGTCCTCTCCCGGTTAGGACCTCTACCTGTTGGCCAGGCGGAGGTCTACGTGGGGTCGGGCTGACTCTGGATCAGGGACACAGCCCCGGTCGATCCGGAGGAAGTCCTGCGCCTGCTGTCTGTCCAGCGTGAAGCAACAGGCTCCCACCGACGGTCCCATGGCAACCATGATGTCGCTCACCCGGCAACCGAACTCCGTCACCATAGCCTCCACCGTCGCCATGGCTACACCCATCAGCGTTCCCTTCCAGCCTGAGGACAGCGAGGTACAGGTATTTAGGTACTACAGCGATGTACTTGTACATGAGTGAGTACTTCCATCTACTGCTACTTGTGCATTAGATTAGAAAACATCATTGATCCCTGTTGGGGAAACTCGTTTGCCACCAAAGCTTATCTAGAACAACTGCATCAGCGTCCTTTCAGTTTAACTTCATGAGGCAGGACGATCTGTTGACCCACATTGACCACTGGGGAGACCCCCCCCCCTCTTTCTAAAATCAATAACCAAAACCGTTACTACACCAGCCTCCTGTCTATAGGCCAGATGTTTGCCTCGGGTCAGAAGACCAACCTCTCACCTGAGAACCAGAGCGGGATAAAACCCTGTGAATTGGGTTAGAAACTGATCCCAACCGAGCTGACATGTACATCCGACATGGAGTCCATGCAGAGGCCATTTATGTATAGAAACGAGAAGAACCGGTGCCGTATTGGTACCGGTTCCTATATGACCCATATCTACTGGACCAAAACGCGACGCAGATTTCGGTACCTGATAGCTTACTGCTCGTGTAGCTACGGTAGCTTGTTAGCCATCTAGCTTCTATTCACATTTATTTAAGTCAGTGTTTCCCTCCGTGTGCGTCTGTGTGCGTCTGTGTGTGTCTGTGTGCGTCTGTACACAGGAGAGCACAAAGCGCGCCAACGCAACGACCCCCACCTCCCGGCCCCCACCCAAGTATTAATATATATTAATATCAAATATTAGATATTCCCTGTAAACAGACCAAGCTGTCACCTGCGTGAGCGGCTCCGATGACCTTTGACCTGGGATCGGCGAACAGGATCGGCATGCAGTCTGCTCCCGGCGCCGCTAGCACCACGCCGGCGCGGTCTGTTACCATGGCGTCATAGCTCCCCGGCTCAGCCCGGCCCACGACCCACACACGGCTGCCATGCTCCACCTGCAGGAGACGGGTCCAATAATGAGTAATGTAATGAGGATAAATGTCATCAGGTCTGACCAGCGGCGATGCTGGTTTTTCCGTTTCAGTAAACATCCCAGTAGGATTCAATCACACATCACACAAAACATGCATTATTACTTTAAATACTAGTACTGTGTACATACAACGTGTAATACTGATGGAAGTAAAGCTGTATGTTTGTGGCAGTCTGGTACCTTGACCAGACGCAGAGAGAGCGGGTGGAAGCCGGCGTGGACAGCCAGTCTGCGGCGGTTCTCCTGCACCACGGCCTCGGCGTCCCTCCTCCTGCTGCTGCTGAACAGGTTGAGGGAGGAGAGGGTCGGGATGAGCGACACGCCGCCGGTCCGAGTGCTGAAGCCGTGACCGAAACATTCTGAGGAGAGAGATGAACGACAGTGTGTGACGAGCACACGTAGACCCCCAGTGGTGCTCCAGCACCGGATGACAACAGCGCGTTCACTCATCAATATCTGATAATAAAAATGACAATGTTTGTCATCAATTACCCCCAAATGTGTTTTGATATCTGACGGGGATTTTTTTATAGTTATTCCGCCCCGACATCCTCCTCCTCCTCCTCCTCCTCCTCCTCCTCCTCCTCCTCCTCCGCCTCCTCCTCCGCCTGGTGCAGCATCAGACCAGCAGGTGATGACGAAGCCCCGCCCCCCCCACATTGTTTGGTGATAAATTAACATTACGTTGCAACTGGTCCGACGTTAAAGAGAAATAAGAAATAAACAAACTAAAATCTCACGAAATCCGTGATTTAAAGCTTATCCAGATGTTTACTGACGTTTGTCACGTTTAATGGAGGAAGATTCAGACAGCAGAGAATTTAAAGGCAGTTTTACTGTTCTATAAATTAGATTAGAAGTTCTTTAGCTTTATTTAATTTCCATCAATTATTGAAAAGAAAGGTATGTATTAAGTTAGTTATATGACAGTCTGGTGAGGTACATTATTAGTGTAATGCTGCTTCAACTCAGTCGGAAGGTAAAATAAAATGTGTGTGTCGCTTTTTGTGATTATGTAAGTCGCTCTTATTATGCACAACATGATTTATCTCATTTATATTTGCAGCATAATGCCGAGAAAACAGACTCCAAAAGAAGAAGGACGGGAAAATATCTTACTGTGTTTTTATTTGTTTTATCATTAGTATTTTTAATTTCATGAAATAACTGATATATATATATATATATATATATATATATATATATATATATATATATACATATACACTGTATGTAGTCATATCTATATATATATATATATATATATATATATATATATATATATATATATATCTATAGAGAGAGAGAGAGAGATGTACATGAACTATATGTTTTGAAGTTGTCACATCAAAACGTACTAAACGATCTTCTTTCTCTTTGGAACCAACGTGGGATCAGGGATGACGTCAGAACCCGGACTCCTCCCCCCAGTGCGGGGAGCGCCTGCGCGAGCGCCGTCACCTCTTCTTCCACGCTGACCGCTTCACCAGGTGGGTGCGAGTGGGCGGGACGTGCGCAGCTCGCACAGATAAGCGCGCGCACGCGGTAATCAAAGGTGTACACGGCTGTGAAGAGCCGCCGCACATAGAGAGACAGCCGCTCCCCGCCCCCGCGGGGTGGTGAAGACACAGACCGAGCTCACGTCTATCCGGTCCAGGGTCCGCGTGAACCAGAGCAAACAGTGCGCCGTGGACACAGAGTCCAGCACGTGCACGCTCCCGCCACGCAGGTCGTCCCGAGAACAGTCCCCGCACAGCAAGAAGACGCGAGCCGGGTCCCCCGGTGGAGGCGCGCCGGTGCAGCCCGGACCGCAGCCGTGGACCAGGTCCATCAGGACCACCGGGACCGCGTCACTCATCGCGCTGACACACGACCCGCTGTCCGACCAGAGACCCGGGAGACACTTCCGGGTCCGCGCAGCCCGGCCCCGCCCACAATGGAAACTCGTCTGAGCAGCTTCCACCTGATGTGCGTAAAGTACACTGTAAGTACATCATGTACCCGTAAAGTACACTATAAGTACATAATGTACCCGTGAAGTACACTGCAAGTACATCATGTACCCGTAAAGTACACTATAAGTACATAATGTACCCGTGAAGTACACTGCAAGTACATCATGTACCCGTAAAGTACACTATAAGTACATAATGTACCCGTGAAGTACACTGCAAGTACATCATGTACCCGTAAAGTACACTATAAGTACATCATGTACCCGTGAAGTACACTGTAAGTACATAATGTACCCGTGAAGTACACTGTAAGTACATAATGTACCCGTAAAGTACACTGTAAGTACATAATGTACCTCCGACATGTACTTAAGTCAAAGTACTTTTCACCACCGGATCATTCCATCGATTTTCATAGTTTCTGTGTGTGTCTGTTGTCTTACTTTGCGTGTCTGCTTGTGTGTGTTAAGTTACTTTGTGTGTGTAACTGTGATGTAAATAATTTAGTTGAACTACAGAACCTGTTATAGTTTCTCTCCACCAGGAGGCGCCAGATACTCAGCTCTCACCACCTCAGAGGAGCCAAGTCCCTCCTTCCTTCTCTTCCTTCTCTTCCACCCCTTATTCCCTCTCTCCTTCCCTCCTTCGCTCCTTCCTAACCCTCGGTGTCTTGTTCTATGTACAGAACATATATCTACAAATCCTTGCCGTGCAAAGGATTGTGGCTCCTTAGTGGACTTTGTACTGCAGAATGTGACCCGATGCAGTAGGACATCAGGTATTTTACTGCCTAAGTACACACTATAATGTACTGCCTGAATTGTTGTGTGTGTGTGTATACATATATATATATATATATCTATATATATATATATATATATAGATATATAGATCTCTATATATAGATCTATATCAATTTAGCTTTCAGGGGGATTCTGTAACGAGTGTTTGCACTGTAATAAATTACTGTAAAATTAATAAAATTACGAGTAATTCTCAACAGTAACGTACTGTTATTCGTAAACAATTCAATTCATTTTATTTTGTAGAGCCCAAAATCGCAGGTTACAAATTTGCCGCAGAGGGCTTTACAGTCTGTAGAAATACAGTGGAATACTGTTAAATATAGCAACGGTTTTTGGAAGAAAATATATTTTTTTACTACTGTATTCAGTGCTTTTCGGTTGAGTCTGACTCCGCCCACTACTCGCATCGTATAATCACATTGCATCACGTGTCTACCTCTTATTATCACATTAAATGGAAAGACTTATTTTATTTTTACATTGCACCAATTCACAGAGTCAAACCTGTAACACGGCAACAGATGGCTTCTGACCACCAAAGTGGACCGAGCCAGAGAGCAGACGCTCAGCCCTCAGTGAGCTGCTCCACCTCGCGGTCAGCTCGCCGTCAGCTCGCCGTCACCTCTTCAGACTCTACCTCCACTAACACACTAACTACCTGCAGCACTTACATTGGACTTATAATGGTTCTTATCTACAGCAAGTTGTACATCGGCTTATTTTATGAAATCACTCTTTCTTGTTTCTTGTTCTTCTGAGTTTGTGTCCTGATGGTTGAAATGTTCTTGTTGTAAGTCGCTTTGGATAAAAGCGTCAGATAAATGACGTGTGATGTGATGTAATAACTGATCATGGGCATCACGGTAGGAACAGTAAAATAACGGTATAATGCTGTTTCTATACAGCACTGTACTGTGTTGTTTTTTTACAGTATTATGCTGTTGTTGTAATTTACAGTAGGTATGCTGTAGAATTACAGTAGAATACAGGAAATGTGGCTGCCAGTAGATTACTGTAAATTAACGAGGAAATTCGTTTGTGTGGCCACAGCAGTGCATCATGGGTATTGTAGTATTTACAGACTACTGATCATCTTTGAATTTTAAGTTAAAGCAGCCAAACTGATGGAATAGTTATTAATCAAACTGCATATTAATATAGAACAACTTATATTAATGCAGCCTCTCAGTTTTTTCATATGATCCGTCTGGAAAAGTCAAAGTGAGGAGACGTCATTGACTTAATTAATGATCAGGCCTGTGTGGTTCCGCTGTATGGAGGACAAAAGCTGCCAGGAGAAGAAATATATAAATCATCACTAGTGCATTATTAGCTTCATTATTTTCTGAGGATAATATTATTAATACTCAACAAATGAACCTGAAATGTATTTGATACATTCATGAATTAATGAGACAGCAAAGAAAAACTGGGACCGTTTATTTGATCACAGAACCCACACCTGATGTAATCAATAGTTATTGATTGATTGAGGTATTATATTAATACTAGATTTATTGACGTTAATTCTTCTGATTAGATTTATTGACGTTAAGTCTTGACCAGATATTCCGACCCTGGGATCGATCCGCTCATTTACATATTTAAAGGGACAGTCGGTCTCAGCTGATGACACGAGACGTGTCTCTACGAACACATGTCTTGTTCGCTTTTGACAACCGATCACAAATATTGATCACCGGTTCCGCCTCGCGCTGCGTCGTTCGGTCGGTACCCGCCGGAGCGCCGTGCACGGCGCTGTCTCGGGGACGCGCCCGCGCTCCACCGGAGGAGCACCGGGATTCTCTCGCGGAGCATCGCGCGGATCTTCTGCCTCCACACCGGTAAGAGGAGCTCCGTGTCCCCGCCGCGGGTCCGATGTTCCGCCCGCTGCGGCTCCCGGTGACCGGGGACTCGGTTCCGTCTCACGCACCGGATTCCTCGTCCACGAGCCGCGTCTCTTCTGAAAGCTTGACTGTGTTGATGATGTAGGACAATTTATGAGGACAGAGGACACGCAGGAAAGTGTCTCACGCGTCCTCGTCTCTGAGGACAGGTGGGAAGTGTCTCACGTTACTCTGGGGACTCACAGGTGTGTCTCACGTGTCCTCGTCTCTGAGGACAGGTGGGAAGTGTCTCACGTTACTCTGGGGACTCACAGGTGTGTCTCACGTATCCTGTCTCTGGGGACGGACATGAAGTGTCTCACTCGTACTTGTCTTTGGGGACAGACAGGAAAGTGTCCGGCTCGTACACGTTCCTAAGGACAGGCGTGAAGTGTCTCATGTGTCAGGAAAGTGTCTCACACATCCTCGTCTCTGAGGACAGAGGACAGATCAGATCAGCTGGTGTCCCTTCAGCATCACACGGTTCTCTGCTGTTACTCACCTGCTGCTTCATCAACAACAACAACAACAACAACAACAGCAGCAGCAGCGATTAGATGGGACACGGAAGATTTATGAGTCATACATTTAAAAACTGGAACTTCATTTAATTGAAGGTCCACCGATGACATCATGCAGAAGTTTGACTTATTTTCCCTCACTTTATTTTCTCTAAACTGTTGAGGGAGAGAGGAGCGTCATCATTATCTATAAGATGAAGAAAAGTGAAGTTACCTGATTGACATGTTCTTTACATCGTGTGTTATGTGAGGAGATGATGCGTCATGCAGTGAGTGACAGCTGTCTGTCACTCCGCTCGTCAGCCTCATTCTGTCAGTGATCGCTTGTTATCAGCTGATTGGATCTTTCTAGAACTTATTTCATCGTCCCGACTTCCCTTAAAGGTCCGACGCTCCTCAGAAGCAGCGGAAGAATTTGGGTTCTAGTTCTAGAGTATATATAAATAAATGTAGTAATAGTATTATTAGCATTACTGTTAATCATAGTATTAGTCCTCACAGTAGTAGTATTAATAACACTGGTTAATAAGTGTTAATAGCAGCAGTAGTAGTAGTCTGTTACAGAGAGTCGGTCAGACTACTACTACTACTACTACTATCAGTATTATCCAAGCACAAGTAGTATCAGTAGTCATAGCAGTATCAGTAGTCATAGTAGTATCAGTAGTCATAGTAGTATCAGTAGTCATAGTAGTATCAGTAGTCATAGTAGTAGTATCAGTAGTCATAGTAGTATCAGTAGTCATAGTAGTATCAGTAGTCATAGCAGTATCAGTAGTCATAGTAGTATCAGTAGTCATAGTAGTATCAGTAGTCATAGTAGTAGTATCAGTAGTCATAGCAGTAGTATCAGTAGTCATAGTAGTATCAGTAGTCATAGTAGTATCAGTAGTCATAGTAGTATCAGTAGTCATAGTAGTATCAGTAGTCATAGCAGTATCAGTAGTCATAGTAGTATCAGTAGTCATAGTAGTATCAGTAGTCATAGCAGTATCAGTAGTCATAGTAGTAGTATCAGTAGTCATAGCAGTAGTATCAGTAGTCATAGTAGTATCAGTAGTCATAGTAGTATCAGTAGTCATAGTAGTATCAGTAGTAATAGTAGTATCAGTAGTCATAGTAGTATCATTAGTCATAGCAGTATCAGTAGTCATAGTAGTATCAGTAGTCATAGCAGTATCAGTAGTCATAGTATTAGTCACAGTAGTCATAGCAGTAGTATCAGTAGTCATAGTAGTATCAGTAGTCATAGTAGTATCAGTAGTCATAGTAGTATCAGTAGTCATAGTAGTATCAGTAGTCATAGTAGTATCAGTAGTCATAGCAGTAGTATCAGTAGTCATAGTAGTATCAGTAGTCATAGTAGTATCAGTAGTCATAGTAGTATCAGTAGTCATAGTAGTATCAGTAGTCATAGTAGTATCAGTAGTCATAGTAGTAGTATCAGTAGTCATAGTAGTAGTATCAGTAGTCATAGCAGTATCAGTAGTCATAGTAGTAGTATCAGTAGTCATAGTAGTAGTATCAGTAGTCATAGTAGTAGTATCAGTAGTCATAGTAGTATCAGTAGTCATAGTAGTAGTATCAGTAGTCATAGTAGTAGTATCAGTAGTCATAGTAGTAGTATCAGTAGTCATAGCAGTATCAGTAGTCATAGTAGTAGTATCAGTAGTCATAGTAGTAGTATCAGTAGTCATAGTAGTAGTATCAGTAGTCATAGTAGTATCAGTAGTCATAGCAGTATCAGTAGTCATAGTAGTATCAGTAGTCATAGTAGTAGTATCAGTATACAGAGGCAGGCAAACATCTGTCTCACTCTGAGCTGCAGCTCAGTCTGACACCTCCACCCAACCCCCACCCTCCGGCATCGCGAGGCCGGTCCGGATCAGATGACCTCTGCTTGCTGCAGCCGAGGGGCTCACAGCGTCGGCATTACCCGCCTCCACCCGCCTCCACCCGCCTCCACCCGCCTCCACCCGGCTGACTGGAGGAAACAAAAAGGCCTCCGTCACTCTGCAGAGGCTGACTGGCTTCTTGTTTCCTGTAATGCGATTAGCCGCCGCCCACGAGCCAGGCGCTAATGGAAGCCCGGCTCCGGCTGCTTGGTGGGGGTGGGGGGGTGGTGTGGTGGTGGTGCGAGGGGTGGGGGGGGGCTGGACCAGAGGAGGACTCCATTAGCCGGGCGGACCCCCCAAGGCTTGTGTGTGGGTGTGTGTCTCTGGTTCCTGACGGAAGTCAAACGTCACAGAAACCCGTTTTATTCTGGTTCCAGAGACTTGAAGACAAACACGGCGTCTTTGTTCTCTGTGAATATGGACGATGTGACAACGTTATCAATCCATCGGCATCGACAACGAAACCATGTTGTTGTCACCATGTTGTCGTTGTTGTCGGCGACAAGCTGCAGGTGTCTGAGGTCTAACTGTGTCACTGCAGGTTGGCCGACTGCTGCGTAGGATCAGTCCTCTTCCTTCACACAACTATTTCCTGAGTGTGAACTCGTCACAGGCGCTGATCTTCATCGTGGATCCATCTGCTGATCTTCACTCAGGGCGAACAAGTCCGTCTTCAAATTGTAGGAACGAATAATCTCAAGACGAGTTCATTAGGAAATGTAGCCGACGTCTCACCACAAAATGTAAAGAAAAACCCAGAATTTCACACTTTAGAAGATACATTTTCTGTAGATCGACTGAACAGATCACACACACACACACACACACACACACACAGACACACACACACACACACACACACAGAGTGGCAACACATCAAAGGAGACGTTCCCATCAGTGTGATGGAGGAAGAGGAGCAGCTGGAGGGGAAGAGCTGCTGTGACTGAAGTGCTTTCTAATTCACACAATGGTGTGTGTGTGTGTGTGTGTGTGTGCGTGTGTGTGTGTGTGTGTGAGTGTGTCTGTGTGCAGTGTGGGTCCTTGTTCTGGCGTCACATCAAGTAAATGTGGTGTGAGGAAGTGTGTGAGTGACACACTCATTAAATATAATATAAATTTAGAGCTCCAGCTGATCGATCAGTTCATTATGTTTAAATCAATCCGAATCCAATCAGAAAGTAGTGAAACAATCTGAATATATTTATTTATATATTCCATTTAATTAATATTCCACAAAATAAAGCAAATGTTTACAACCTGAGAAATGTGTGTTTTTATATAAAAATATAATTCTAATAATAAAGAGATTAAAAGATTCTAATGATTTTTGGAGATAAAAAGTCACTAGTCGACCCATCCAGAGACGCTCCATGTTGGACACGCCCCAAAGATACAGAGTCTTCACTGCCGATGACATCAGAGACAAACACTTCCTGTGGAGGTGGAAGTTCCCCTGAGGCTGAAATCTGGGTTTTATGTGTGTGAGTTATGAAGACGAGGACGAAGGACGATATTTATTGTTAGCTCTCTGGCTGTGTGTGAGTGTGTGTGTGTGTGTGAGTGTGTGTGTGTGTGTGTGTGTGTGAGTGAGTGTGTGTGTGTGTGTGTGTGTGTGTGTGAGTGTGTGTGTGTGTGTGTGTGAGTGTGAGTGTGTGAGTGTGAGTGTGTGTGTGTGTGTGTGTGAGTGTGTGTGTTTTATGTGTGTGAGTTATGAAGACGAGGACGAAGGACGATATTTATTGTTAGCTCTCTGGCTGTGTGTGAGTGTGTGTGTGTGTGTGAGTGTGTGTGTGTGTGAGTGTGTGTGTGACAGTAATGGCTCTGCAAGCGTCTTCTTCTGCTCTAATGGTTCCTGTGATGAATTCAGTAGGACAGCTTCCTGTCCCCTGCAGCCACATGTCACACCACACTACACCTCCCAGGGTGCATCTCTCTGACATGCCTCACCCACGGACTGTTTAGAAGAAGTGGACGTCGTCATGGGGATTCGTCCCATTGGTTTGTGGATTTTTTCAACCAGCTAGCAGGAAGTTACCATTTCTGAACTGAGGAGGACGTAAAGACGCTGTACACTGGTAGAGACCTGTCAATCAGCCTGTAGCCCCGCCCTAAAGCGTCCTCTGCTATATGCTCTGTTTGACTAAATGAACATCATGTTGTGTTGAAGAAGACTTAAACTAGAGACTGAGACCATAAACTCATGTTTACGATGTTTACTGAGGGAATAAATCCAGAGAAGTAGAGTCATTTCCTCATAGACGTCTATGGGAGCAGAGGAGTCGCCCCCTGCTGGTCACTACAGAGAAGTAGAGTCATTTCCTCATAGACGTCTATGGGAGCAGAGGAGTCGCCCCCTGCTGGTCACTACAGAGAAGTAGAGTCATTTCCTCATAGACGTCTATGGGAGCAGAGGAGTCGCCCCCTGCTGGTCACTACACAGAAGTAGAGTCATTTCCTCATAGACGTCTATGGGAGCAGAGGAGTCGCCCCCTGCTGGTCACTACAGAGAAGTAGAGTCATTTCCTCATAGACGTCTATGGGA